TGTCTCTTAATGCTCAGCGATGCCAGTTTATGTTATTAAACAGCGGGGAGCCGGGTTTTTTCTTCTTCTTTCATTGAGCTGCAGTATTATTACTGTTAAAATTAAGCATCGCGACAACGCTACAAGCAGGAATAATGTTGAGTGAATAGTGAAGTAATTCCCAGCCTTAGAGGCTTAATAATCCTGTACAGTTGCATTAATCAGGCCTGCACAATGGGGGAGAGGAAATAACAACAAAACTCAAATAAAACATCAAATCCACAGACTACCATTAGTCCAATTTGAGTGCTTTCACCTTTTAGACAGTGGATTTCACTCCAGCTGTTCTGGACTTTAATAGCTTGGAGCCATTTGCATGTCCTGATACCCTACACCACCAGGTTGCCCTGAGATCCAGATTGCACCAATAATCATACAGTAGCCTGTGGGCTCAACCAAGACTCTGCTGGACGAGCTCATGTGACTTTAAAAGCGACATTTCCTCTTAGTTCAATCTGCTGCCAGCCAGCCAGCCAGCCAGCCAGCCATGCTCTCTTCACTCAGTGCATGTTGCACACATGCATTATCTCAGGCTTAGCAATGGTAGGCATCTGGAGCCAAAGAATCAAACACTCAGTGCAAGTGGCGCAGTTATTACTGTGATAAGCCTGGTTTGGCAAGAAGACAAGGTTTCTGGTTGGAGTTGCCATCCAGAGGCTGGTTGACTGAGATTAGCTGAAATTAGGTTGTTGCACGGATTTGAAGCAAGATGAAAATGGGTTTATAGATATATAATCATTTGGCAACAAGCCAAAGTGCAGTTCATCACGGGAAGGTTAACAAAATCCATGATCCCCCGCACACCCCCCACCACTCATTCATTTCTCTTCACATCTTCTTTATTTGTGTTCAGCCTATTCTAAGACACGTCTGCTTTACTTAACAGTAGGCTTCATATTAAAATGTAATTTGAAAACTGAAAAAGGAAAAGGGTGCAAACAAGGTCAGGGCATAATTCCCCAGCGACGATGGAACCAGTTTCCCTCATCATCAACTGAAGGGGACCAAGGGATTCGTACCCGCATCTGCCGTCGGTGCCACGCTAGGAAGTATTGTAATCGTCCTCGCCTCTCATTTCAGACCGCCTCCAGATATGTCTGCATACCTCTTGAATCTCATTAAAATATTCTTTTAATTTCCCTCATGCATATTATCCGGAAAATACTCTGAGGAATTTTCACAAGTTCAAGGATACAGCACCATGGAGGCAAAGCACTTGCAAGGTTGCAAAGTGAATCTTGTCAGTTCTCTGTGTTGAAATGCAAAAAAGAGAAGACGTCTGCCTCATTGGTAACTCCAGCTCGGCCGGTTTTCTTCACTGATTATGCTAACCAACAAATGACCTGCCTGCCATCAGAGGTGATGATTAGGGTGAGTAACACAGATTCAACACAGACCAGCAGGCTCCCAGTCAGAACTTATATCAAAACACAGCAGTCGAAAACAACATCACAGCCACCACATCATTTACACATTTTAATGGAGACTGTGAACAAAAAAGATCTTTGTATTAACAATATTGTGCATCTGTTATGTTAAGGTTTATGACTTTGTCAAAGACAGTAAGTCACTATCTTTATTATCCATTCAAGCTGCCGGGATTTGTTTTTCTATCACTTGTTGTTCTGTCACTTTTTTTCAAAAGAGGCAATCAAATTTTGCAATTAAATTCTTCACATCTTATCTCAATATCTGCAGCTCGCTTCAAAACTAATTAAGTGCTAATGAGCTGGGTTTATTTGCCGCAGCTAAATGTGAGGTGTAATTGAGTAGCAGCCACCCCGAGGATAAACCGTTACACGACAAAGATGGGAGAACACATCACCTGTCAAAACCTCGCTGAGATATGCTCACAACATGGACTGAAGAGACTCAGTCTGGAGGTTTGGCCAAAGGTGCAAAAGAAATCAAATTACTGATGTGATTACTGATGGGGGACAAGTTCATGAGTCATATCGGTTTACATCTGGGGAGGATGCATTTCCTCTCTCAGTCTGCTGTATTATTACATTATGACTTTTCTATATTGAGTGGGAGCAGCCTTTACTGGCTGCCTAACCTTGTTAACACACAGGGGGCAAAAACATGACATGAATCCACTAAATACAGTGCAGTGAGCAGATACGGAGCACCTGTGTTTCGTTATAGGTAATATGTTTTGTAACCATTATTCATGTGTGTTACGCCCGGCTCGTGGGCCGCAACAAGGGAGGGAGACGCACACAGGTTTTCAGTAACAATCTTAAATTTATTTAAACCAAGTCAAAGTAGCAACGCAACAACAGGTTGGTGGAGACGGACGGAGGCCGACAGAGACACTGGCGTCTGGGCAGGCGGGGTTAAATGCTGTAGGACTGGTCCGGTGTTCCCAATTAGGGTGATGGCACCTCAGCTCCACCCAGCCAAGGACCTACAAACACACAAGCACATACACACAGTACCAGGGCAGCAGGACCAAGGCAACAGGCCTCTGAGGCCGTCACAATGTGAATCCCAGGCAAAGTAGTTTTGTTCATTTCTTTGAAACAACAGTGCTACATCTGCAGGTGCTTTTGGTTATTTTCCACAATATTTCGAAGTTATTTTTAATCAATTAGCAATGCTTGTATCACAAAATGAAGCATTTTGGGCCATCTCATCTCTCATCGGTGAAGACCATGAATCACTGATGAATTGAGATTAACGCATTTGGCCACTGTTACCATGACTGTGTTTATACGACACCATTCACCCAGAGAAGGTCTTTATTTATAGTATAGTATGCTTAGTGTTTAGGGACAGTGTACGGTATAAACTCCAAACCACAGAGTGCGTGAAGAAGACCTGCCTTGTGATTTAGAGTCAACAAACCTCCAAACCCCTTTTCAAAATGTAATCCGTGCTTTTTGCACTCTCTCAAGAGCTTAGATGCACTGGAATGTCCTTAATAGTTTGTGACAAGATTCACATCAACGAGCCGGTCGTCTCGCTAACAGGTGTGACACAGGTTCTCGGTCTCAGTAAATATGAATAGAACAGGCAGTGTATTTACACCCGTCACAATAGTGTGCACTAGGGCCCGTCGTAAAAGCGTGGACTAGGGCCCGTCGTAATAGCGTGCACTAGGGCCCGTCATAATAGTGTGCACTGGGGCCCGTCATAATAGTGTGCACTGGGTCATAAGACTATGGTCATCAAAACGTTAGTAGGTGGTTTGGGTGCAATAAGCAGAGCAAAGACATTTGTAAACAGCAAAGTCATCATCACATCTTGCGATACCCTTCTCTTTACTCACTTGGATTATTGAGGAAGAGTCTAGCTGACAACACTGCAGGTTTACACCAGATTCAATGACTGATCAGGAGAGAACCGGATAACATATAGATTTCTTCTGGCCGACAGAATTAAAGTAACTGTATTGACAGTCATCTTTACATTCATGCATCACGTTGGCTATCGGTGGGTTTTAACAGAAGCCCTCCTCGGGATCTTTGGAGCCAGGAGTGCTGCATTCAAGGGCAGCCTTCAGTATTATGGTGCCACTAACTGGAAGCAGCTGGACAGGTCTACTCTGGCACAAACTCTCAAATGAACACCAGTGCACTTGATTGATAGCCTGTATTAATATCCAATGGATCATCCTGATGAAATACAGTAAATTGAATCGTTGCACGTCAAAAAGTGGGTACAGATAAGACCGTTGCTGCTTAAATGCACCGAGCTGCCATTATCGTGACTGATGACTGATTGAGGGGAATCATTTCTAACATCTCTCTGGTGAAAGACTTATTCTACACTTTCTCAATAAGAATAATTCTGGGAACACAAGCGCCTCTTGATGACGTTATGTCGATTATTCCACCATCAAAATAAGCATCAAAACAGAGAGCACGCTTCCAGTCTTTGAGTGTTTCTGTGCTTTTATAGGCTTAAAACAGAACAGATTGATGACAGTATAATAGCTTTCAAAGACCCTTGACTAATTTTTGTGAAAAGAGGCTCTTCATCTTGCATTGATGGTGTTAATCTGAGTTATCTGGTCCTCATATCAGAGTACAAATATCTGAATGAGTTTAATCAGGATCCATTAAGCTGTTTTTTTATTTTTTTTTTACTGAGTGAACAATCAAACTGACATCTTCAGATCACAGCTGGTTCAGTGTATGATGCTGCATGTTGCACACAGTAAATTTTCTGTAAATGTATAAATTTGTCTAGTATTTTTATCTGCAAAAAAAACCCCCACATCTTTGACCTCAATCATCATATTTATAAAACATTTTTCATTTTAGATACAGTCATGGTCCACCTTATGCATGCTTTGCTATTGTAATTCACTCACTAAACAATGCATGACATTGTGAACGGCCTTCATCCCGTGTTATTTCCCCCCCCCCCCTCAGACCACCGTTGATGCCGTTTGTTGTGTCCTCCGCTCTCCGCGGACATCACTGTGTTTTCATGCGTGTAAGCAGTTGGTGGAGAGCTGTGTCAGTGCATGGTGTTTTACGCTGGAGGGAAACGCAATCTATCACAGCCGGGGCCGTTACCCAGGTGCCTCAGCAAAGCCTTGCACAGTCATCTCATCTCACCTTCCTCTCCATTATGACAGGCAGCTTGGGGAAGGGCCTTCAAACTACCTTCCCCTGAAAAATACACTCCTACCATTACAACAGGAGTTACAGAGAGAGAGAAATAAATACACTAGGTATGTCTAAATACAATGTGTGCCTGCAGTAGTCATTTTTCTGAATTTGCCTCAATCAAGCCAATCACCTTTGGAGTTGAGCAGTAAAGGTGCATTATCAGTCCGGATCTCTGTTCGAGTAATGAAACAGCTGCAAGTACAAGTTATCGACTTAATATCCGCCCGTCTCCTCTCCCCGAGATGATCCACAAGCTGTGAGCAGAACAGCAGGTCTTCTCAGATCACAATCAGCTAATCTTCATACAATTAGGAGGCAAGATGCAGCGAGGTTTTAGTGATGGGTTTTAATTACATACACTCTCCAACAGTCTTTACACATAATCAACAGAACAGCGGAATTATTAATCTGGGTAAAATCTGAACCCACTTTACCTCAGGTCCTCTGGGAGTGACCAACACATTGCTGTATCCGTTATACAGTACTTGACCAGGTTAGGCATGAATGTCTGAAGTGCATTTTTTTTTTTTTTTCTTTTTTTTTAGCTGTACATGTTATTAAGATCATTTGAAACCATGACAAATCAATCAAGCAGCAATCTGTTTTAAACCAGTCCCTCAGCTATGACCTGCGTGATTTCAACATACGTCACAGCACCGCAGCGTGGGCGCTGACACGCAGCACTTCAAAGTAGAAAGGGTGAAAGAGGCTTTAGAGAAGAGCCAGCAAAGGTAAAGAGGGCACACTGAAGACGGACGGAGCAGACAAAAGTGCATCGCCCTCAGGGAATCCATAAAACCAAACAATCATGCACATGAGGCTAAAAGAGTTTGAAACAAGTCAACTTAAAATACTCCCGAGGCTAAAATAACACAAACGTTACATCCTTATGCCAGCGTGCCTCCATTTATATTCACCTGCTATTCATATTTATTAATCATTACAGGTATTTTAGAAATAAATATTGAGGTAAATCTTTGCAACAAACACTCTCCCCTCCCCCCCCAATATTTACTTTTCTTAGTGTAAAATCTTAAATATAACATGCATTTACGTAGAACTACGCGATACTGTAATGCTTGAAGTGGACCCTCATCTACCAAATGTTACTGTCAGTATACCGTCACACAGTTGACCAGTAGCCTCTTTGTTAAGAAGTGCACATTTTAGTCAGTGCATTTCAGAATTGTCACTTGCATTTAGTGCTCAAACAATAGACCCATTTACAAAAATAAAAAGGATTTCTTTTTTTTGTTAGCACTTGTTACAGTATTGGTGTTTTCCTGTGTCACAGTTCTGCAGCTTAGCTTAACAAGTACACGATATCCCAGCTACACGTTTTATGTGAAAGTACAAACACAAGTTTGTGAGGACATATTGGCGGTCACAACATCTTTAAAGGAAAAACAAGTGCCTCAACAGTGCCTCACTTGGTAAAACAGTCCCGTTACTGGCTACTGTAGAACTTAACAGTATTCTGTCTATTTTTAGGAAATATGTTTACTGGCTTTCTTGACAAAAGTTAGATGAGAAGATGGATACCATTCTCATCGTTACGTGGCGTCAATCTTCTCGTCCAACTTTGGGCACGAAAGCAAACAAGAATATTTCCTAAAATGTTGAACTATTCCTTTAAGGATACGAGCTGCATTGGCTAGCTGACAGTGAATCTCTATTTAGGGACAAATTTCCTTTTGCCAAGTCGAGTGCCGCCAACCACAATGACAACCAGACACAATCAAAGTGTTTGGCCTGTTGGACGCATCACCTACTTCTGCGTTTACACGTTTTTCAAAGCTACAGGTCAACAAGTCAACAACTAAGACACACCAATGAGGGTAATATGACATATTCTAGGCTATTTAGAATAAGAGGAGAGTTTCTGCGTGAGGTAAAGGTGGCTTGTGTTGGACTTAGAGCTTCGACGTTTTAAAGTTATACATGTCGGCCCTGAGCCTGGCCCACTCCGTCATCGTCTGGACTGAGCTTTTCTCTCGGGTGAGGATGCGAGCGACCTTCTGCAGCTTCTCCTCGTTCCTCTCCAGATAACGGAGGCCGTCGGCCTGCAGCAGGTTCAGCTTCTCGTGACGGTTCTCGTCCATGGAGATGTCTTCGTTCATGAAGGGGTTGAAGCGGAAATAAGCGTCGCGAGGGAGGAAGGCGTCGAGCATGGCGTGAACCTCTGGAGGGAGGAAGGAAGAGAGGTGAGGGTGAGGTCGCAGACGAAGCCTACATGACAACTTACATAAACACACAATTAGCTTTCCTAATAGTCTCAGTCTGTGCAAACATTCAAATATTGTGTTAAGAGTGAGAACGGACGTGTAAACTCGCCTGTCAGAGTCGTGACAGCAGTTCATGCGTTACAGAGTAAAGCACTCGGGGCTGAGAGCATGAGGTAATACCGAGTGGAAATGTCTGGCTTGTCTGTCACGGTTGTTTTCAAATGATACGTCTGAGAGGTTTAAAATCAACAACATGCAAATGCATATAAACAGGCAGCGAGCAGCAATAACAGGAAAATGTGCCTGAAGGATCCGAAAAGGTGACGGCGGTTGTTTCCATCTGTGTTCCCACAGTAGTGCAGACACCGAGTCTATCACAACGAGCTGCAAACTGCATTTTACTTAAAGGTCATATGGAGAGTGTTATAGACTTTCTTGTGTTTTTATATCCAGTTATGTTTATGTATTATGAAGGCATTCATATTTAAATAAAGTTATACACTGAGAGCAAGTATATTTACAACATTCCTGAGATGAGGCAAGCCTTCTTGTTGAATAGATAATATGTGGATAAAAAGGTAGAATGTGTAAAACGTGGCTAACTACTAGCTCCAAACAAATGACTGGGTCAGTACGATCGAAATTTACAGTCACAAGTTATCAAATAACACTGCCATCTTGTAATTTGTACGTGTTAGCCATCTGTGTGCCACTAACCAGAGGCTGTACGGTACATGATGGTTTATCTATTGGACTAAATCCAAAGTGTCGGAAACGTGAAACTCCACCCACACCTCCGTCTGGACCACCCTGCCAGGAGGAGAGCGTTCTGCCCCGAGCAGCTCCGGGAGGCGGACCCCCAGCCAGTTGTTTCTAAACAGGAGCTCCATCTCATGGAGAAGCTCATTTGTGGCCTGCTCAATGTGACTGAGTGAGTTAGTTAGTGAGCACAACCCAGTTTCATCAGGAGCTATTTACACCCAACACCCCATTACATCAGCCTCATCCGTCTACAACAACAAGCCGAGCTCCACTGATGCACCTAAGACAAAGCAGGAGGCTTCAGAACACCGAGGCAGGAGGGACGCTTTGGAGAAAGAGGAAATATGTGATAAACACTCTTTGCTAATCTGCGGTTTCTAAATAACAAAGCCCGTCGGATAGCTGGGGAGAGCTTAATCCCAAATACAGGAGGAACAAGTGCGGAAAAGCATCTAGGTCACCCACTGCAGCACCGCAGCAGCAACAGGGACGGGACCGAGCCAAATTTAGGCACAGCAGAGGTGCCCATGTCCAGAGGTGACAAGGAGACGGAAGAGGTTGCCACTGCGGAGAAACACAATGGGACGCGTCCAGAACCGAGTCAACCTGCAGTGCAGTATTTTCTACACTGGTGACATCAAAGCCCACTTCCTCCTCGCACAAACGACACAGAAACACATAATTCAGTCAAGTCGCTGTAAATTTTGATTATAGTTCATATCAATTTAACCTTCTTAGGTTGACATTTAACATGAAGATAACAGCATTGCAAACACATCACAATAGATGGCATGCAACATTAGGTTGGCTTATCTACGTTTTGCCCATGTTCAAACATATGCAACACTTTCTTTTTTTTGCTGTAGTGTTTATAATTGTTATTTGTGAGTGATCTGCATAGCTACGCTGGTGACGCAGCTTTCCAACACGGAAACATTGTTGTTCTCCTCCATGTTTTCCTCCAGAGTGCTCTTAGTAGCAGCACAGATTCTGCTCAGCACTTCCGCACTTTAAAATCCGATTTGAGCGTCCAGAGTGTCCGGACCGAGACGCATCAGTAGAAATCAGATTGCAGTTATCTGCTGAAATGTAGTGTGTAACCAATTTGCAAAAATTGGATTTTATGTGTATTTTTTTGCTGTCAAGACTTTTCAAAAATCCATCTGGATATTATTTGGATATGCTAGAAAGTATGAGTCAAGCTTAAAAAAAGAAAATGGATCCTACACGTCCCAGAATGCACCAGACAGCAGTTTATATTAGAAAACTCTAAATGACGTGATGCATCGTTAACGGTGTGCAGTGATGGTCACTTACCCTCGGTGTCCGTGGCGCTGCTGATGACATTGGTGAGTTTGGTTTTGAGGCTCGTGTAGGTGCTGCTGTTCTTGCCGGGAGTTTCAAAGCGGCCCGTACCGAGTGACACCACGCACTCCAGGGGCGAGTTGGGCCACAAGCACTTACACTCATGGATAGCCAGCGCTGTGGGGTTGTTAATCAGCAGACCTCCGTCCTGTGCACAGAACACAAGAGCTGCCATGTTAGAGAACTCATTTACACACCGTGAATGTTTTCTTTTTTGTGTGCCAAGACCACAGTCAGCGAAACCAATTAATTGGCATTTGAAACCTCAAACTCTTTCATGGATTTCAACAGTCAATAGATGACATTTTTGAAGAACATCTGACGAAACACAAAGAACGGATCGATGTGCAGTTCCAGAGCTGCTTCTAAAAGTCTACAACACACAGAGCTAAATTGTTTTTTTCCCCCTCTTCCCTCACAGCTACAGTGAGACTGGCTTTGATATCGAACAACCTCCCAGGAGTGCTTTTGCTTTGGATCCATAGTCTACCCAAGGCAATAGAAGTGTAGGGGGGGACACTGACACTGGGGATTGTTGAATAGGCACGAGGCTGAGGGGCCGCAGGGCTGTATGCTGGCAGCGGGATCAAACGCACAGGGGCCAGTCCTCATTAAAGAGGCCAGGCTGGGGGGTGGGAGCCGCGGGGCCCCCCAGGTGTCTAGGGACCCACTACGGGGAAGACTGCTTGTTTATGCGACTGTGCGTACGTGCATGTTTGATCGAGGGCTTGCGCCTGCTTAGAGTCAATGCATATAATAATGTGGGTACGCGTTTGTGACAGCATATGTCACAAGGATTCAAACACCCCTGGGGACGAGAGGGAGGGGGGAGGGAACGTCCCGTCTTCTCAGCACACTGCAGTCGTGTCGCAGCCGAACAACATATCTGTACAAATCTGTAGCCGCGGACGTCGTGATGGGGAGTTTGAGGGCTGCCTATAAAGGTAAAAGGTCCGCTTCAGCCGAGGAGCTGAGCTGAGAAATTGTATCATCAATCCAAATACCAGGAAAACAGAACTGCAAAAGGGAATTGGTTATTGTAGTTTGACTGGGGGCAGACTGGACCAAGTAATAGCTCCCGTGATAGAAGACGCTTCGTGAGTCAAATGTGGCTTTAAATAAAGTAGTTCTCTATAAAAACGTACTGAGCTGCTTTGAAAAATTACAAAGCAAGGCGATAAAGAGAACTAAGCCAGCTTTACATGACAGTCAAACAAGAGTAAAAGACTAAAGACACACTGACTCTGTTGTGATTGACTGAGGCACAGCAGTCGTAAGGACAATGCTAAGATGCTAATGTTTACCACGTTCACCATGTCACACGGACACAAAGTACAGGTGAGGCTGACGGAATCGTCTTTAAATCTGTAAGAACTGTAAGAACCAAAGATCCGAACTGGAGCTGCAACAATTCGTCGAGAACATTTATTGCCAACAATTTTATAGACAACTAATCATTTTCTGGTTCCAGATTCTTGAACGTGTAAATTATCTGGTCAGAAAAAAAAACAAGATATTTGAATGGGATTATATTATGGACATTTTATAAACAAACATATCAATTAGTCGAGGAAATAATTGACAGATGAATCAATAATGAAAATGTTTTTTTTCCAGCTATACAGAAATAAATGAAAACCTTGACCTGCTGGTGGGGCAGATGAAAGGTCAGGGGAGAGAGCCCATCGAGAGTCATCCTTAGGGCAGGATCCTTTATGACAATGCATCCAATAGTCGTTGAGACATTTCAATAAAATGTGAATCTTGTGGTGGCACTAAAGCAAAAGTCGAGGATTACCAAAATGACTATCCTTCATCCTTTGAGGGCCACAAATGACAAAATAATTGATATCTTGGTCTGAGCGGTGAACATTGCTGCCGTGGCTAAATATGAAGAAAATATTAAAAATGACAAAGGCAAATGACTCCAATCCCTCCGAGTCACACCGTCTGACAGAGGAATGTTCTAAGATTCAAAAGACGTTATCGTTATTATAATTAACTGTCTGAATCATGTAAAACCGTATATAGTTAGTTTTCTGTTTGAGCCGGAGACTCAGAGGGCATCCGTCCCACTGGCTCAGATGAAAGTCACACAAAGAGGGTTTCACTGTCCCACAAAGACCTGAGGAACTGCTGAGGCAGCCGTTTGTCCAAAGCACGTCGTTATGCGCCAGTAGGATCTGGCAGACCTAGACATGAACGCAGAAAAGGGAGAAAATGCCTGGATTGCTCTTAAAAGGAGACTTAGAGAGACTTGCGCTGCGGCGAGCACCAGACGAACCCAGCTGGAAACAAAACAACTCAGCACTTTTCTTATCACTCACACCACTGTGAGAGGCTCCATTTTCTGAACTCGGCGGCAATTATGGCAGAGGTCTGAGACCAGAGGTCTGAGACCAGTCACGGGTTCTTTGTGCCGATAGCTGGGGGGCAACTTTCACGAGCACAGTGGCCGGCCTTGCACACAGAACCAAGGCATGCAACGTTAGAAGCTAACAGTGCACAATGCTCTTGTGAGCCGGGACTTGAATGCTATAACTTGACTCCATTTCACTGCACCTGCTCGGGTAATTCAAAGCATAGTTGAGGCCCTGAAGGAAAGTCTGATTTTCTTTGTGGTGCCACTGGAAGACGGTAGGTAGTGTTTATTTGTGTGTGGCGCTCAGAACTTTTTCGAAGAATCAATAATTGAGAAGGTAATTTGCATCTGTCATCTCCCTGCACAGCTGTCACGAACAAACAAGCTTGCTTGAGGAAGACGGTGTCGGGCTCAATCTACACGGAGAACAGTGGGCGGATGCTGAAGCTGCAGCGGTAGAGCCGGTATCCACGCTTGGCCCGCTGCCACGTTCTCACACAAGGGATTCCTGAGGCCAGGACATATTTGGACATGGACTTAGAAAGAATGATCTACTTAGGACAAACTGCAAAATGAGCTTTGCATACAAAATGGCCAAAGAAAACAAGCCGTCAGTCAAACACGCAGCATGACGCAAGGCGAAAGGTCACTTCCATTTATGTGGATTTAGAGCTGTAACGCTGCTCAAACTGACAATGGCTCGATCTCAGAGGGCGCCACCCTGTCAGTCGAGACCATCCCACGAAGGTTGAACCTCAGTCTGAGAGGAAACAGAATTTTGAAATTCAGAGTTTGAATAATGCCTTCCTGGAAGGCTTAATGACTCCCTTTGACAGCGCTTCTTGATTCCGGCAGAGCCCATTTGTTGATACTCCAGAGGATCACAGCTCCTCTGGCCTCGCCTTTGCCCTCCAGGGTCTAACGGCTGATTCACAAATCAGCTCCTCATTTCCCAGCAGCTCAAATAAAGCCACTTCTCAACCAATTAGAGCTCCTGCACCTTCAGGATCACGTTGCCCTTCTTCCTACGGCCAATTAATCTGAAATAAGGGCCGTTAAAAAGAAAACCGTTCTTGCAGCGTATTCTGAAATAACAACTGCTGAGATGATACGGGTGTGATAAATAAACAAAATTGAGACCTGTGCACGATTTACAGGTCCCTCGCTTTGCCGTTTGAAATTCCTCAGCCGTCATTAACTTTTGGGGGCTTATCTTCATTGTGCCAGTTGAAGCTGTCTTGGAGAGTGATTTGAATAGCAAAGAGGTGCTATCGTCAGGATCAGTGAAAGTCATTTCACGCCCCAGTGTATGTCAGCTCCCATTAGCTGGGACAGCAAACTTCCTCCTCTTCATTCAGCCTGTGTGCCTCTGTATCTCTGCCTCTCTAACCCGTGGGTGAGCTTCAATGGCGTCTCGTGCGAGCGTCATTACGAGCAGCCACAACGCAGGAGAGAACAGAGGGCCCGCTCACGTCTTAAATGAGGTGAGCCTTTCCACGAACATCTGGTGGTGCGGCGTTCACATCACAGTCCCGATGAGCAGCTGTAGTCATTAAAACTTCTTCTTTGGCTTTCTTTGACAGGGCTGGACCGAGGGGGCACTGAGCTCTGTCACGATTCATCACGAGGCTCCCTGCTTTCAAATGATTCATTAGGGAAGCGTTACATAAGCTGTGGACATCTGATTATGCCTGTGACAATGACCAGACTGTTTTCCAGAGATGGTCATTCATTCGATGAAGTAGGTCATTAGACTGCTATAAAAAAAAAATTTAAAAAAAAGTTAAACTCTCAATCTTCCAAATCAATCCATGCTGTTTGCACATAAAAAGCGAGCTTTCTCTGTTGCTCAATATGTAATCAACAAAATCTGCTCATTGAGGAAAATGAATGACATCCAATCCACACAAAGGCCACCATTGTCCACAGTGAGGATGAGAATGACAACATGGTCGGTGTGATGAGTGCCACTCTTAAAGGTCAAGTCAGAGGTCTTCATGCCCTATTATGCAATTACGCCGACCAGTTCTCCGCTTCGCCTTTTTTTGCTTTATGGGCCTCAAAAGGGTCACATTCAGGCTGTCAACAGAGGAGAGACCCGTCTGTGTGTGTGTGCGCCAACTTTGCCCCCGGCAGGCAAAGAAATTAAGATCTACGGTTCACGGTTACCTTTTCCCACACATTCGGTGAATACGTGCCCACACATGTACACCCAGAATTGAAACAATGAATCATCTCTGCAGACTGCGGCCATTCAGATTTAACTGTGACACTTCCTGCAGTGATATAAATGGCTGCAGATTTACTCAGTCTAGATTCCCCCTCGAAGCTTTACGTATACATTTGACAACTTCATATTAAGACGGCATCATTTTTCTGTCCATCACCGACTGAGCAATTCAAAGCTAATCTCCCTGCTGTACACAGGCGGTGTGAGGGAACACAAGCACTTGCATACCAATACAACGTAAAGAGAGGCTCAAAGCTGCGATGTACTCCAAAGTGTGGTGCACTGTGAGAAGACAAGGCGGTTAGAGACAGAGAGGCTCAGTCAAGATAATCAGTGGACTGACCTAATCCCCAAACAAGTGTGGCAGCGCAATCAAAAAGAGCAGCCAGTGGAGGAAACAAACGTGATAATGAGAGAATCCGTGTGTGCGTGTTTATACTCGAGGGACAAAGATCCCCGAGTCTGTCTGGGAGGAGGAAGCCGTCTGCAGAAGGGCTCAAAAAGTCTGAGCTCCATCCTCCGACAGCCTCAAGGCCAAGCTCTCGGGGCTTAACACAGGAGGAGAGGAAGTGGCTAAAAGGCTCAGATTCATACTCTTTGTCACCTCCCTTGAATCCACCACCTCTCCTCCCCTGAATCCACCACCTCTCCTCCCCTCTGCCTCATCCGAGAAGCACTGCAGTGCTGAGCAGGTAATCCATGACCAATAAATCCACCTCCAGTGGCCTTTACGAGGGAAATAAGAACAGAAAAAGGTGATCCAAAAGGTTAGGATTCATGTGAGACCGTATGCCACGTTCTCCTCTTTTCTCACACAGAATCATAACAGTCTGAGTTCATTAGCCAAAGCTGCCACATTTAATGACTTCATAGACTCTAATTTATGTCTCGTTCCCTCCGTCGTCTTCTAACAACAAGAAATACGGCGGTGCCGATGTGACCCAGTCCATTTCAGGCTGTGTGAAGCCTTTCTGCTGAGCGTCGTGCCACGTTAGGGTCTCTGAAGAGCTCACACTCCGGTGGTGGCCAACCGATGCCATGCCTCCCATCAAATGCTGGAAGAGGTGGGTACGAAACGTGCTCCCCATTCCTCCTCAGCACCTCAGGAGACGCCATGGCAACAAGGCGGAAGAAATTGGGCCCTCCTCGCCATTCCACGCATGCCCTGGCATCCATTGTGAAATGTCTGAAGGCTTCTGTGTTCTTAAGAGCAGAGATAACCGAGAGAGCTTTAATGTGGAACCTCCCTCCCTTCATCTCCTCCATTTTTTTCCCCCCCTTGTTCCCCCTCACTAAGGCTGCGGTAGCAACTGTGAGGCTTTGATAACACCACGGCCGCTCTGTTTCAAAAGGTCTTGCTCCAAGTTACAATCCCCCCCCCCCCCCCCCCCGTTCCCAGTCTGAATCTAAATTTCTGGCTCCGTCAGATTTAAATTTCAGAAAAACATCAAACAATCACAACATTTCTTGAAACGCTGCTCGAGGATTCCAGCATCGGTTCGGCACATGGCACAGCGACTGTCCTGCTCTCACCGAACAAAGGGGGGATTGTTTAGCGCTTGAATTAAGTGGAAAAACTCTGTGGAAAAAGGAGCGAGATGCCTCTCTCGCTAGGGAATCCTGACATCACACAGACGGCACGTTATGCTCATGGCTGGTTTCAGAGGCTCAAGCAGCCAATAAATAAAGCCATGAGACTGGGTGGCGTTTTGAAGCTGGCGAGGTTCACGTGGAGAGTAAAGAAGTTAACAGCAGTGAGAAGATGTATATTACAAATGCTGTTCTTTGGCTTTATTCTAGATTACACTGTCAAATCATGTTTAACAGCTCATTAAAACTTACATTGTAAGAGGCCTTTGCCCTTTTTTATGTGGATGTCCAATCAGTCTAAATGGAGTCGATATGAAGATATATTAAGAAGAGGCAATAAATTCCTCGGTGCATGCCATATTGATCGAGAAAGCAGAGTCTGTTGTACTTCTTGCATCCAGCGGCATCCTTTGTCATGACAGTGATGTAGCTGGTGGTGAGGAAGAACTAATACTACTACTTCAGTGCCTGGGCTCTAAATAAAGTGAAAAACTAAACAGAATTCCCTTCTCTTTGCTTGTGTAGCAAACTAGTTTTGTTTCCATCAGTGAAAATGGGCATCCCAAAACATGAGTGCAGAGGATGTTATGGACGAGGACACGTTCTATAGAGTTTTGGCTGACTCAGACAATCGGCCATATTTGTTCAAGCTAGAATATACGACCGGAGAAATGCAGGTGCAGTGAGAGAGGAAAGGACCGGCAGCGACCCTCCAGAAGCTGAGCTGATGCCAACAGAAACTCAATCATTCTGCTGCAATAAATATCAGCGGGTGCAGTTTTTTGCAGGACGCCGTCGCTGACACCATGAAGATTTTACACCTCACATGGTGTGCCAGAGACTTTAGGATAATATCTCTTTAAAATTCAAATTCTCACCAACGGCTAATAAAGACACAATGGATGCTTCTGGAAGCTTTGGTTTTTGTAATTTCTTTCATTTCTAGATTGTTTTCCATTCATTTGACTTGTTGTGAAATACTTTTCACTGAAGAGGATCTTAAATGATGAAATCAAGATGCTTAATCTTTGTTGGCTACGGCAGAAGTAGAAGTTGTGGTTGAAGAATCTGTAAAGACTTAAACGAGGACATTTTGTTTCAGGAGGCACAAATAAGGAGGTCACTCCCACCTCCTTTCACCTGTTATGGAAATTTGAACGTATGCATTAAAATAAAAACAGCCAACTGAACGTTTTCCAATATGTAGAGGTTGATAGCCCAATAATAATAATGTTGTGATGTTCAAATCACTTTGGAAGAGCAAAGCTCAGCTCAACAAATGCTGTTCCAAAACAAAAAGGATAGAAAGTGAACAAATGAGCAAAAGAACAAAGCACGCAGGAATTCCCAGTGAAGGCAAAACGCCTCCTTCATTTCATTCAGTTCTTCAGGATTTTCCTTTTGACAGAAACTGAATTATAATATAACATAAAAACAACAGATTTGACGTGGCATGTATTAAATATATTTAACTAATGATGTTGTCAAATCCACCCACAGTAAGAGGCTTCCTGCTGGAAAACTAACAAGAGTTTGGAATAACTCTCATTTGTCTTAATTGTCTGTCTTTTCGTCCTAACGAGGCCGATGTGGGATTCAGTCGTGTGTGATGAATGCAGCGCTGCATTGGACTAATGTATGCAGCCTCTCAGCGTTGGCTGGGACGCTGCTCGACGCCAAGCTGAGGAAATGTCCCACCACAGGTGGGTTTTCATCAACCAGTCTCTTTCATTCTCTGCCCCTGAACTTCCCCAGTCACCTACACAACTGACGCAGCTTCCAATTAAGAGTGTGGGAGCGCGCCGGCACGGAATATTGCCTTTGATGCAAACACATGCTCATTCACATGTGCTGCTTCTGTCTTTACCCCCCCCCCCCAAATCTTTGTTTTGAATGTCGATTCAAGGAGATATTGAAATCTGGATGAGACGGGTCAAACACTGGCTACATCCACTGACTACTCAAACAGAAGTGGAGCTTAATGACTTGCATCTATGTTTTCCTGTTTGTTGCTTATTGTCCCGCCCATCTTCTGTCGTTTAACTTCTGCTTTGAACTGTTTTCTAAGGTTGTAGATGCCTCTGCTCGTGTGCTTTGTCATTCCTGACTAAGCCCTTACTGAAAAGGTAAAGGCAAACAGAGTATTGATTAGTAAAACGGTGGAGTGGAGCAGTGGTTTGCTATGTCACGGTTGGCTAATGCATACCTGTTTAGCGGTGATGGATGTGAGTGAGTCTCCCTGCGACTCACTCTCCCGTGAAGATGTAACTGAATGGAAACAAACACGGACAGGAAGGAAGTGGAGTTCCTCCCCCTCACTTGCTGTGTGGAGGATTTCTCTCATTAGGCTCCTCAAAACCCGTCACTCTCCATCAACACTGACTGTACATGCTTTTAAATCCAGCACCCCAACAGTAAGCGCTGGATCATTGTAGCAGAGAACTGCGGTTAAATTGTCACTACGCGTGTAGATATAAGGTGCGAATGTGAAGCAGAGTGTGAAAAAAAAAATAAGCCTTCAAAAAAAGGTACAAATGAACGGGAAACATTTCACTTGACAAGCAAAGGTCTTCAAGCTGTGTACACGGTGGTAGACTGAGGACTTGTTTGTGCATTATTCTCTTCATAGCCAAACAGTTTGGAGTATTAAAATGTTATAGAATAGAACGGTTTGAGAGAGAAAAACATGCGTTTCCCTCCCCCCCCCCCAATACCTTAGATAGCCCCTGACCAAGTTATATTAATCGGACTGGAAAGAGTGACCTTACGTCTGGCAGCCCAAGAAGATCGTGTATATGCACACAGGGGTACTTTTGTGACTCGACTGTTTACTATGTCATTTTGACCCTTGTTTAGTCTTAAAATCAAATCCAGTTGTATTGCTTTGTATGTAATTGTATCACTGTGTTAAATAATCATAAGAAAGACAAATCCCAGAGACACCTATTATGCATATGGACGAGATTCAATAAACTTGTGTTTTTGACAAAATCATAAAAACACCAAACAAAGGACTTGGCAGAAATTGACTTTAGGAAAATTAGGAAGAAATTAAGCTTGATCACACAAAATGTTTCAATATAGTTACAATCCAAAAACAGAGATCAAAACCCAACGAGATGTTGTATTGACCCTTAAATGTGTGATTGCAATGTTTGTACGCCAAAGAGAAAAAATCCCAAAAGATAACATTAAATAGTCATCATGTGCTGTCACTCTGTCCACATGTTCTCTTGGAATTTAAGCTTACCTAACAGTTGTGCTCATGATAATTGTCCTCAATAAAAGCTAAAAACTTAAAATCTAGATGTAGAGTTTAAATCCACTGAAGTCCTATCGTTGTCCCTCTTCTGTAACTCAGGAGATAATTCGGAGATGTATGATTTAATCATCAAGGTTCCTGCCCTGTTGCTGCCGAGAGTGGGACTGACCTGGTGGAGATCATTTCCCAACTTGAACTCCTGGAAATAACCAGGGGCTGCTGAGGAGGCGCGGATGGCCTGCCAGAGCTGGTGCTGGGAACCCCCCAGGTAGTGGGAGCGCAGCCGGGGCAGCAGGTTGTAGTTCCTGAAGACGTAAGCCTTGAGAGGAGTGCCGCGGTTCACAATGGTGCTCACTGCTGCCACCTATAGACAGAGGAAATGACACACAACCAGACTCTTCCAGCATGAGGCAGCATTTTACAAACAGAAAATGCAAGCTTCATATCAAGATCGACCTTCTGACAGATCAATGTAATATCATCTCTATACCCTCACAGGAGTCTGCTGACATATGGATTCCTGGATACCTCATTATCCACAGTGTCTTATATGGCTTTAGAGTCCATTCTCCTTCCACTTGTCATCGCAGAGATAGAGATAGGAGCTTTTCTTTTAATATATCCCGTCAAGGTGAGCTAAAGTCTCACTGGTCAGTGCCCGAAAGGAACAAAAGTGAAGAATGTGTGAGGTCGTCTTCTGAAGCTCACCTTGGGGCATTCTGGGTTTCTTGAAGTTTCCACCAGAAGCTGAGAGCCCATTCTCTCTCTGTGGAAGGGAAGATAGGGTTATTCCTTTTTGCATTGTAGCATGACTTGTTCCAGATTTCTTTCTGCAAGCTTCGCAAAATCATCAAGCAGATCACTTAATTGAGTTTGAAACCAGTCTGTGATTGCCATCATTATTTTCAAACAGGATAATTCTACCACTCGTAAGGTTTTTAGGTCTAGTCTACAACAACCCATGAAGACTCAATAAGAGTGTCGACAACATTTACGCATGCGGTGGTGGCTTTTATTCTTTAATATCATTTTTTACAACCAGCCACTGTTTCACAGTTATTTCCATATTGGATGACCCTTGAAATTTGCTTGAGTTAGTTATCCATCACGGTGAACACCATGTCTGCTTTTATGGTTACCCATAATACATTACTGTTGCACGGCAATGCAGTGCAGACATGGCAAATAATCTGCAGTTTAAATGCATTATTACACAATATTAACTTTGACAAATAGAAAACACACCTTTGATGGATTTCCTAATTATAGTGAGGTACTTCCAAATCACTGAGTTTACTTTTCTTTTTTCACTTCCAAGACATTTTAACAAACAATTTAACAAAGCACAAGCACCACTCCATAAATGACAGAGGAACTGACCTGAGGATGTTCTCCCAGGCTTCGCTGTCATAGAAAGCATGGTTCCAGCCCATCTTTACAGTACCGACAATGACGTTCTGCTTGAAGACATCTGAACCCAGCTTGCGGTAGAGATCGTCACACTCGTTCAGCGGGATTTGGAACACACCTAGCATGAACCCCAAGATGGCACCTAAAGGGAAAAACACGAGCAAACATTCACAGTGGGTAAATAAACCACAGAACAGCATGCTTTTGCAAACAGGAAGTACAAGAGCTTCCCTCTGATGATCCATTCATAGGAAGTGCATGAAATGATCGTGGCTATTACACTACAAGCAAATACTTCTCAACTATTTTCCCTCCATGATTAAGGATCCCCGACAGGATAACTAACCCACAACAGTGCTATGAGGACAGAGATGGGGTGTACCTGAATAATGTGGGGGGGGGGGGGGGGGATCAACCTCGCCAGATGTGGCCCAGATGGGTTTTTTAAATGTGTGAACATCATTCGATCTAGCAGATGGATTACATTACGCGCTGACAAACATTCACTAAATGTGAAAATGAAGTGCCTCCAACTGGTGGGGATTAAGACTGAGAGAACTGACAGGAGCCGGGGACAAACTTCTGGTGGTGATTAAAGGCCACAGTGCTCTGCAAATATTTGTTCAATCTGCTGTGAAATGAAAACAACCAAGCAGCAGGTGAAGACAGGTAGAGGATGGTCCACAGCATCCCCTAGTGGTGATCTTGCATACAGGGCAAAAACATATGTAAATCCACCTATTAACTATTCCTAAAACCAAATGAGGCAATGCAATTTCCTGATGAATATGATTTCATGATCTATTTAACAGTTTGAAACAGTTTTATCGTGGCCTGACTTGAGTACTAAGCACAGTGGTGCTGGTGGTGAAATTCAGGTCAAAACAGGAGCAGAGCAACAAATGGGTCAGTCTGTGATCAGAGCTGCCCGTCTCACGTGCAATGTTGATCAAATGATCCAGACACATACAGAGAAGTAGGACGACGCACCTGTGCTGACACCACAAATATAATCAAACAGCTTGTAAATGGGTTTCCCGGTCAGGGCTTCCAGCTTGTGTAACGTCTGAAGTGCAACAAGTCCCCTGAAAGTACAAAGTGAGACACACACAGAGTATGAAATGAATAAGACGACGACCACAGCGTACACACACTGTCTAAAAAGTGACAGCTGATTGATTTCCTACTATCATAACAAAGACAAAGGAAATAAATCCTTCTCCATTTAACTGAATATTTCTCAGGAGGACATTTACTTTATTGAAACTGCAAATAGCTTTTCAAAACATGGCCTTGACTTCAATAAATGATATTTAGTTCCTTTTGGAAAATATTTGACATCAGTGACTCATACCTTACAAAAACAACCAGCAGAGCTGAACTTGTACCTTAACCCTCCTCCGTCTATGGACAGGATCCGTATGCCCCGGCCTTTCACGGGTTTATGGTAGCCCACCAGAGCGAGGGCCTCTCTAACTGCCGCCCTCAGGCCTGGATCACTGGCCTGGTTCAGACGCAGCAGACACGGGATAACCTGCTCCTGATGGACATATAAACATGCATCAGACGAGGAACTGAAACACACAGTCGGTCGTAGAGGATTAACGTTCCCAACACCGGTGAACGGTTTGAAAGGTTAGCGCTCAATAAGTTCCTGACACCATCCCCGATAAGGCAGAGACATAAATAAATGCGGCAGTATGTTGTCCGCATGTTCGGTAGTTGTCAAGCTCTGATGTCAAACAGAAAGCAACATGTAACCTGTTGCCACAGCTGACAAACTGACATTTGCCTGGCACGGGAAAAATCCCCAAACACAAGCAGAAGGCCATCATCAACATTATTTACACGCTACAGCTGTTTAAGAATTCATGCCAAACACAACCAGATTATGTAATGTGTAAAAACATGCTGCTGTGATCACAGCCATTGTCTGAGGTTTCTTCCATCTCTGATTACAGCCTTGAATACGTTGGTATGGAGTTTGTTGATACGTATAAATATCTGGGAATTCAGTTGGACAATAATATAAATCACATTTACAAGCATGGCAATAATTTTGTCGTGTCTTGTTGCCTTTTTGTCTACATGTATGATTGAATCTGTCTATTTAACCTCTTCTGTAGATGCACATACTTGTTTTTACTCGATAATGTATTGATTTGTTTTATTGTATCAACTTGACGTGCATTTGACATGTAACTTTGCTACCTTCTTGGCACGATCGCCAGCACAAAAGAGATTTTTTTTCTCAATGGATTTTATCTGGTTTAATAAACGTTAAACACAAAAATGAATAATAAAGATCCGGAGCGAGTGCCAAACATAAGAGTTGCTGCTTTTGACTTGCTAAGCAGCATCAGATGCATTCCTGACTCACCTTGACTGCAACACCACTGGTCTCTGGGAACTCCAGCAGATGGTAGCTGAGGTCCTCCACCCTGTTGATGTAGACCTTTACATCCGAGGCCCTGTGGAGAGCCTGAACCAGACCCCGAGTTCGATTGTCCACACTCACCCTGGCAATGATCTGGAGACAAAAAGAAAAGTGCAACTAGTTAGGTCCAGCTTATTGTGGCTCATTTAAAAAGGTCAGTCTGAAGAAGACAATCTGCTCGAAACATCCCTTGTAGGTGTGCTCATAAGGGAGCTACAGGCCTTCATTTCTATTTACAATACGACACTGTAGCTAACGAATGTTGTCACTGTAGTGTCATTTCTTTCTCATGTGAGAACATTAATAAATGTCCAACACATCACTTGAATACAATCCCTATTACGCCATCATATCATGAGTTAATCATTAAGTTGATGACAAACCCTAAACCCCGATCGACTATGGAGGCTGGTTAAATAATGAACAGAAGCGTGACAAAGCTACCACTCAGTAACCCAGAAATCATTCCGAAAGTGTCAACAAATGTTTACCTTTTCAGTCATTTTAACTAGATTTAGTTACTTTGATGGTACAGATTTCATGTCTGCTCCTTGGGTTGAGTGTAACAACATAAACTGGACCAAAACCCACCAGAATATCACATCAATAATTGATCTACTGTACATCAGCCAAAGGCATGCCGTGTTCTGCTAACATATCATTAGATCATGTTATAAATACTCAGTCCTGCCTCGACATGAAGTGTTGTGTTAATCTTCACAACAGCAGCCTCGGCCGATACGGTGCACACCTTTTGTGGCCCTCGAAATCCACAAGGGGGTTATTTTTGAAAATAGATTCCGAGAACTCAGACAGCACTTCAGCACACTGCACTACCCTGAGACATATAGAGTAGCAAGAGCTCCGGTCAATGTCTGGGCAGTAGACAGCCTTCTGATACTCAGAACTATGTGATGTTGGAATTATGTTTCACTTTAACATAGACCTACCTTCTCTCTTTGAAGTAGTAGTTTTTTGGCGTTCTCCTCTGCAGTCTTCTGCTCCTTACTAATTGTGACCTCAATCTGTTGGACAGGTGCATCCTCAGGCTTCTTTTCCTCCACTGCAGCACTTTTGTACTCCGCCGTCCTAAACTTTGGGACCAGGGGAGCAATGTAGCTTCCTACGAAGGCTTGTACGGTGGGAGCCGAGTAGGACAGGTAGTGTCCTAAGCCCTTCTTCGTGGAAGGCGGGGTAACCAGAGCAGCAGAGACTGTTTTACCAGGCACTGGCACGAGGCCACTGGTTTGTTGACCCTGAGAGGAAGCAGAGGGAGAGTAAACATTGTCCACTTTCTTGTCATTTGTACTGCTGCCAAAGTAGGAGTTGATGTGATGGGCCAGGTAGTTGTAAGTCTCATCCAGGCTGACGGAAATGGTGCTGGGATGGAAAAGTGCCGTGGTTTGTTCGGAAGTGGAGCCCTTGCTCTCAGGATCACTCTGTGAAGGTTTTGGCTCCTTTTGTTTCCTGGCAGAAATGGCTTTGACAGCGGGAACAACACGTCTCGGTCTTTTCTCCTTAAGTTCCCCCACAGTCAGAAGTGTGGCAGTGACGGTCACTTGGGCAGGGTTGTGAGAATGTGTAGCGGTAGTGGCATTTGCATCAAATGTAGAAGCAGAGGTAGGAACAGAAAGTGTGGCAGAAGATGAGCTAGATGTAGGTTTGGGTGGAGTAGATGTAGAAGGACTAGGTGGGACTGCGCTCTCCTCTGCTTTCGGGGCCGACTCAACACTTGCCTCCGCCTCTTTCTCACCTCTTAAAGCATTCGGCTTGAGTTTGGCGATTTTGGAGAGGAGTTCTGTGTGTGTCCCACTCACAGCTTTAGAAACCGTGTCCAGTGTGTTCCTGACCCGCAACATCTGTTGGCTCAGACCAGCAGACCACCGTGAGGCGGAAGTGTTCAGGTACACGGTGCTGGTGTGGAGTCCAAGCCGTTGTCTCACCTGGTGAGCTTTACAGATCCATCCCTTTCGCCCAGGGATCCTGAGGTGGTGGACATGCCTCCTGCTGAGATAGCCAACCTTGTAGCAACAGGGTTGTTGTACATGGACCCTGCAGTGAGAGGCACCAGCCAAGGAGAGTGATGCTGCTGACTTGCGGGCATGCGTTCCGCTTAATATGACCCAGGTTTTTGGAGCCCATTTATGACTCATTCTTCCAGGTCACAAGACTTTGAGACATCAACATCTATGGTCTCCCTTTTCAGTAACCTGGTGATAAACAATAAAAAAAGGTTATGGATAAATGATAGACAATAGAAGTGAGAAGGAAAATTAAAACATGTCATGACGTGGAATAAAATGACCAACACTGCTCCTAACAATGCCTCTGACAATTGCTGTGTTCTTAAGTAGTAAAATCTCCTGAGAGGATAACAAAATAGCGAATATCTAACGATACTCACCATAACAACACCAGCCACTATTAACTGTTAGCTCCACTATCGCTGCTAGCTAACTCAAGCAGCATTCATAAAGGCAACACAAAACATAACAAACCATACCTGTTTATGTCACTGTATCATAGAAGCCGGAACTCCTGTTATATTCTCATTGAGTCGCCAACCTTCGTTAACGTGTACACTAAAGTATTACAACGTAAGTTATGGCAACACACGGCCACTCGACCTGGCACAACATCCACAATGACGTGCGTCGTCAGTCAAATGAAAAACAATGATCACGTGACACTCTCTGTGCTCTGCAAATGGCTGCCTGTTAGTCGGCCCCTTAAATGGAGTGTGTTGATTGGTTGAGGACGTTCTCCCCGCAGTTGACTGTAGCAGAGGTTCAATTTCTGAGAGTACGCCGGGCGTCTCCCGGGTAGGCCATGGGGAGGGTGGAGTCAGCATCAAATAATAAAAATGGAGCACCCCACTCTTTTATGTATCACGCGGGATACGCATATGACCAAATTGAGCGCTACGCAGACCTTTGGAAACGTGGTGACATGTGTTACAATATTATGTGGTGTTTAAATATGCCTCAAAACTCTATTATATCACAGTATGTATAGTACAATGTTCAGACGTAGTTGGTAGTAGTAGCAGTTAGTAATACTATCCATTTAAAACAGTACATAACTGCTGTAAACACTCACAACAACAGCATCAAGGTCACTATCGGACAGTTGAAGGGGGACAGTACCGGCATTGGCCGGCAGGGGGCAGTAGAGCAACAACGCTACCTGTTAACGTCTAGTTACTCTGATTCAGTGAAGGATCGAAGAAGATGTGGAAGCATTGGTCGGTGTGGGTACCATGATGCAGCTTCTGACCGCTGCCTCTCGATCACAACAATCACCGAGAGGAAACAACGAAACACCATCATGTTTTGCGTCAGGTAAATGGTGGAGATTGGCAGAACTGCAATAAAATCCACTTTAAGCTGCTCTCGTGCCACACAACAAGGTAAGAGCGTTACGTAGAAGGAGAATAACGTCACCTGGTAGCGAAGCCAGGAGTGAAACAGTCAAATATAACGTTAATACTTACTTATATAAGATATCAGGTGGTGCTAATCTGTCTTTTTTGGGAAGCATATATTTTTTTGTTGCAGAAGTTAAAATGGTGACGTCATTTAGTTAGGCTAACTAGCTAAATGAGCTAGCTATTCACTAAAGTGCCTTGTTCTCTCCTTTGCTTCATTGCATGCAACACATTTAACTTTATTTTCTCTCTCTCTTCAATACAGGGGACATCAGAGCCATGGCCACCGTCCATTCTGCTGTAACGTTTGCAGTGTGCATCCTCGTGATAGCAGAGCTGATCCTCGCCAAGAAGGACTATTATGATATCCTGGGAGTGCCTAGGGATGCTACTGAGAGACAGATTAAAAAAGCTTTCCACAAGCTCGCAATGAAGCATCACCCAGATAAGAACAAGAACCCGGACGCTGAAGTGAGGTTCAGAGAAATTGCTGAAGGTACACTAATCTTTCTTTGTCATGTCAAAAAGATACATTGTTTCCAAACATACTGGAATAATATTCTTATTTCTAATGCAACATTGTGTCCGAGTATTGTTTAGCCTGTCTTGATTTCAATTCAAGAATTCTGGAGGATAAATATAGCTGAGCTTGCACTTTACCACATATTATTGTCGCTAAATCCATGACTTTGTAAAAATAATGAGACCTTGACTGAATTTTGTCTTTCTTTTTTTTGCAGCTTATGAAACTTTATCAGATGAAACCAAAAGAAGAGAATATGACCAGTTTGGTGACACCTCTGCGTACTTCAGTGGGGAGACGCCAGGCAGACATCGACAGGGTGCCCATCAGCCTTTCAGCTTCAACTTTAATGACATTTTCAAAGACTTCGACAGCTCCAGCCAGAACAGGCATGCTCGTCACCAGAGACACTTCAATGAACACTCCAGGTCCCACAAGGAGACCAACGGCAGACACAAGAGACACTTTCAAAGGGGTTTTGGAGCAGGTGTCTTTGATGACATGTATGACGACATAGAGAGAATGTTTACCTTTGATAGACACGCCAAACAGACTGACAACAGGTTCCATGGTGCATCAAAGCAACACTGTAGAACAGTGACGCAGCGCAGAGGAAATATGGTAACCACATACACAGACTGTACCGCATCTTAAGATGCAATATAACATGACTTCTGACTCAACATTACTGTTGTATTGGGTAACAAGCCACTTGGCTCAAATGCTGTGAAATTTGAGCAGTGACGTTGATATCTGACAGTCGGGCACAGAATGATTTGAGCAGCGACACTCGGTTTACTTAGCTTAGGTCTGAATTTACATTGTTTTTTCAAACTATTCTCTGTGTGTGCTTGTGGACTTGAACATGATTGTAGTAGGTTTTCACTTGTTGAAATAAGCTGACAGGAAGTATTTTGTCTGTATTATTTTGGGAAAATAAAACAAGCACACTAAATTTGGCACAGGGATACCCATGTGTCAGTTGACCACTAGTTCACTACTTCCACCCTGCTGTTTTGTTCAGTTTGTTTTACTTTCTTTTGTTACGGTTTTGCCATTGTAGGTCTCAAAACACGACTGAAGGTGGAAACAATAGCAACCGGTGGAGTTTTGCTTATGGTTGTCAAATGGGGAGCAATGTCAACAAACGTCTGCAACCCTCCGCATGTTGGCTTGTTTGTGCTAATGCTACATCTTGTTGAAATATGTATGTGCTTTACATTGCCAGTCATGCTTTTTTGAATGTCATATAATGGAAAAATGTGTTGTTACATCTCCATCAGGCAATTGTAAAGTAGAGAAATGCTTGTGACTCCCTAGCCTTTCAATTAACACAAGTGTGAGGCCCATAATGTCCTGTATTTCTTGTTGTTTGTGGTATTTTATGCACTTTGTCGTGACAAATGACATCTGGGTTGACGCCATCTTTAATACAAAGAAGTCACAACCATTTCTGAATCACACCTTTTCTAATATTTTCTAGATGTGGAGAATTTAATCTGAATTTACTATTACAATGCTTGAAATGTAGCCAGAAAGTCTCAAATATAGTTATTTAAGAACTTTTGATTGGCGCATCAAAACTTGCAAAGGACCAATTTAGCTGTAAGCTGACTACTGAACTTACTACAGCTTTCATAACTTCTAATTGTACTAGTCACAAGATTTATTGTTTTTTGACTGAGCGTGCAAGGGTGTAAAATACTGCATTTTTTAATTAACATTAAGTGTAAGAATACTGCATTACTACAATGCTGTATAAGAGCATACAAGCATCAATGTTTGATTTACCTCAGTGTTGACTAGAAGACGAAGCTCCCAGAACATTCTCTTTTATGGGTTTATTTTTCCATATCTGTTACAGTGACATTCTCCTTTTACATTTTAGTGTGCAATATTTATTTCCTATTCTGATAGTGTTGTAAATATTCAATGGCACTTTCAATTTTGTATAAAATGTGTTTCGAGATATAAAAAGAAGAGACCAAGCTGAGTTTCCTTCTCTTTACTTATTATTTTTATGTTATGTGTAAGAAAAAACATTTTTTTAGCATTAAGTCAAATTAGTGCATACATATTGTCTTCAACCTATAAAGGAATCCCACGTTTATAAATAGTTTGTTACACACGTTGGTTGCGTAGAGGAAAAAATAACTTTATTTTCATTGGTTGAACACGATTATGACGTCACCGGCAGGAAATGTAGTTCCGCAGAAGTCAACTCCCACGATCACGGCAGTGTTGAGCGAGACTCTGGTGAACTCCAACTCCCGTGATTAAAATCTGGGCAAACTGTGTGCGCACTTAGCTTTGTAGAGCCAAAGAGACGGCAGTTAGCATTAGCCCAGAGAGACATTGAATGACTTTGTGGCGCTGTGCGGCAGGGTGAAGAAAGTTGTCTGTTTGTTTTGACAGGTCGGTGATCAGTCTTTGAGCTCATGGAGGCCCTCATACCTGTCATAAACAAACTGCAGGATGTGTTCAACACGGTCGGAGCGGACATCATTCAACTGCCGCAGATAGTTGTTGTGGGCACTCAGGTGAGGAACGTCACTTTGCTTTCAAGGCTAGCGAGTTAGTTAGCCTGCGACAACTTATTGTTTTAGCTTCTCCTGGAATGTAAACCTGACTTATTTTGTCAGTTTCACGCAGGTGTGCTACACAGAACTGGGTAGACTGGTCTTACATAAGCTTTGCCTTTTATAAATCTAAGCTAATTGACTGAGTTGCTAAATTAGCGTTAGCTACATGTGATCTCACCTAGTTATATACCTAACGCAGCTAGCAATGTTTTTAGCTGACAGTTGGTGAACGAGCACGTATCCACATAGCCCTTAGATCACTATCCTGAAAGTAAAATCATATTCTTTATTTAAACTATATTAGATTACTTATCGATTGAACATAATCGCATTTTATCGCACCATTCACACTAACATCTACTCTCTGTTTCCAGTTTGTTAGCTAACACCTAGCTAGCTATAATGCTGGTTAAGTAAATAACTTGTAATCCCTGCAACGAGTCCTACGTGTATGAAGCTTACAATTATCAGTTTTGTTGAAGGTTTCCATATAACGTTACCATGAATGACATATAGAATATCCTCTTATCTTATATTATATAATCTATATATATTATATTATATCCAATTCAACAACACTTCGAACCACTGATGACCATGAAGTTGAATCAACACCTTTCTTTAACACCGTTTCTCTCTGTCCACCCAACCACCCTGTGGACACGTTAAAGCCTAATTGGTTTGAAGTGGCAGAAGTTTTGTCTTAACCATTTTCTTTCACTGGTCAGCTAATAGGATGTGGCTGTCTCAGACATTTTGGCATCTGATGGTGTTACAGTGAGACAAGCCAGAGGTTGGTTTAAGTTTGACCTTTCCTGGGCTCCACAAAGGCCCAGATCTGCAAATACCTTTATTTAAGGACAGCTGTATCTCAGACCATATGCCAAATACTGGTTATTCCTGTCAGATCTATTAATAGGCGTACGTAGTGCCTATGTCGGTCCAAAACATTAGGTTTACTCCTACAGAGTAGTTAGGTTTACTCTGTAGGAGTAAACCTAATGTAACATTCGTAGCCTTCACCTCCTACTGAGCTAATCGGGACCAGTCCAATAAAGCGTAATCTGCTAGCCGAGTGAGCTAGTCGAGGTATTTCAGTTAAGCAGATCTCATTAGAATAAAGTCACACCTCGTGCTTGTGTTAATGAAAACTGTACAGTTAAAGTTGAAGATGCTACAAGGTTTGTGTTCGATCAGTGAGTGACATTCAGCACTGCCAACTTCACCCCAATACTTCCTGAGCCATCTGAAGGTAATACTCGGAGAGCAGGAACCTTTGTGGGGCCCAGAACTAAATTAGACTTTTGCGCTTGTGGTCAAAATGCAGTCAAAACTGGTTTCTCTCTTCAACGAGTCGGTTATACTTCAGTCTCCCCTATAATGTTTTTTTATGATGTTGTTTTTGTCTACAGAGCAGTGGGAAGAGTTCTGTTTTAGAGAGCCTGGTTGGCAGGGACATTCTGCCGCGTGGCACTGGCATCGTCACACGCCGACCTCTTATCCTGCAGCTCGTGCACATCGATTCAGAGGACTGCAGGAAAACCAGTGAAGAGAATGGTAACACCGATGTCACCTCTGTTATCTCTGTACCTGTGGAGTCGTTGCATATTTATCTTCTTCTGCAAACTATACTTAAATCAAGTTAATGATATTTTAAAACAAACAATGAAATATGGAAATGCTGCATTAAGCGGACTAGTTGGTGTACTTCTTCCACATTATTTAGTCAGGTGAATGTATGGGGATGTCGCAGTTGGAGCATTATTCAGACAGGAAGCGGACGGAGCTTCTCTTTCACTGGCCAAGAGCATAACAGTTTATAAGGGTTAAATGTAGGAGAGATCTTTAACAGACACTTTATCCAATGTCAGGAGACTTCTCTTCTACGGTGCAGTTGTAATTAATTACTCCACGATGGGATGTTTTTATATTGTGAAAGGAACAGCAGTTTAAATGAGCACTGATACCATCCACCTCTCAGTGAAAACAACAGTGGGGAAAATGTGCCAAGTTCCTGCATCTATTTAATACGGTCCTCTGAGAACGGCCACAGAGCGACTCTGCGTTGCTGCAGTTTAATAGAGGAGCTGCAGATAGCCAGGCTAACTCTTTTGTCTCCTGTCGTCTCTCTTTAACCACAGAATCCAAGAAAAATGGACGCCTTTACAGAGGTCTCCTTCTCCTTGTTCTTTGCCTTATTGTGTTTGTATAGTACATAACCTCCCCCGTCTCTCCTGCCCATCTTGCCCCATCCTGCCTTGCATTTGTGTAGCTTTTTTTTCACAAAGCTGCCAAACCACGTGGCTTCACTTTATTCCGCTCAAGTCGTCCCCTCGAATTAGGATGGTCTCTGTCAGTTGAAGTTGGATGAAGAAACATTTGCAGATTCCTGTCAAAAATAATACTTTTGTGCTTAGTTTTACATTTTAAAAGTCCACCTACGATGTCGTGAATACCAACTTACTCTAAGAAGACTAACAGACTCCACCTATGTAATGTCGTTTCCTTCTTTTTGTTGCAATGTTGGTTATTGCAGCTGAGATAATTGCTGTTTTTTAAAAGACTCTAGGTCCTTGCTTCCCCAAATGCTCATGCTTTTTTTTTTTTTATTGCTTTAGGCTTTTATTTGCTTCCATGACTTTTGTGTGAAAACCACTGTCCTTTTTTCACTCTTCTGTTTTTGAACTCTTCCTCTGTGGAGTTTTGCTGTGAGGAGTTTTTTCCATCCCATGTTTGCCTACAAAAAAAATCATCCCATGAGACATAGCACTAGTAATAATAGTAGCAGTGATCTCAAGGCCACATCGTCACATCAGTAACTGAAACATCTGTCCTCAACTTTGTATTCCTGCAGGCATCGACGGAGAGGAATGGGGCAAATTTCTCCACACCAAAAGCAAGGTAGAGTTGTCTCACTCCTGTCCTCTCACTCGTGTCTGCCAGAAAACAATATTCTCTAAATGGAGTCTGTTGTCTTGTGTATAGAAACATCTGAATATTCAATGAACCGTGTCTGGTTCAGCATCCTGTGTTGATTCACTAACATTTATGGATTAGCAACATAAAGACATTCTGTGGTTTTGTGGTATGTTTAAAACAGCGACATCTGTAATGAGGTCAGGCACACCCCCTCTCGGTAGCTGTTTGTGTGGCTTATGGTTGAAGTGTGTCTCTTTAGCTCCACATGGTTCATTGTGTTTGAACAAAGAAGCCCTCATGATGTGCCGATAGCCTCATGACTATAAACAGGAAGTCTCTTTGGAAACGAACCACATCATGTCCTATTCTTTTTATTTATTTATTTATTTTATTTTATTTTTTGTAGCTCGTTGTTGTTGTTGTTGCTGTTGTTGCTGCTAACATATTGAAGTATTTTTAAATTGCTCTTCCAGATCTACACAGACTTCGAGGAGATCAGGCAAGAAGTTGAAGCAGAAACTGAAAGAATTTCAGGCAATAACAAGGTATGCTAATTACGCCCATTAAGAGGGAACGTTAAAACAAGAAACTATAGCAATGGATGATTTGTAAATATCATCAACTAAAGATTTTGACTCAACCTCTGAAGCACTATCAGCCTGTCGAGAGTGACCTATGTTTTTTTCCCAGGGTATAAGTGATGAACCCATTCACCTGAAAATCTTCTCACCACACGTTGTGAACCTCACGTTGGTGGATCTGCCTGGCATTACAAAGGTGAGATAGGTTTCCCTTTTTTCCTCTCCATGTCCAAACCTTCGAGTATCTATGAACTCAAGATGATCCTGCAGATGAATGTCAGGGTTTGAAGTCCAATGTGTGTGTCTTTGTTAAATCAGGTGCCGGTGGGAGACCAGCCCAAAGATATAGAGCTCCAGATCAAAGATTTGATCTTCAAGTACATCTCCAACCCCAACTCCATCATCCTGGCTGTGACTGCTGCCAATACAGACATGGCAACATCAGAGGCCCTTAAAGTAGCCCGAGAGTTTGACCCTGATGGTAAATGGCTTTCTTGTTGATTCATTCTTCACTTTCTTCTGTTGCTCTTCTTGACGTTTCTTCGGTTTTTTATACTTCAGGGTCTAAGGACGAGGCTTTCGCATGCTGTACAGATTGTAAAGCCCCTCGAGGCGTATTTGTGAAATTGGGCGTTCTAAAGAAAATTGACTTAACATCTGCTTTTTTACTTTTAATGTGTCATCAGCATATGCCCATACTTTTATTGTCATGGCTCTCTGCGTTTCCTGCTTCAGTGGTGTCTATGATGTCTTTGTCTTCAGGCAGGAGGACGCTAGCAGTGGTGACCAAGCTGGATCTGATGGATGCTGGCACAGATGCCATGGATGTATTGATGGGCAGGGTCATTCCTGTCAAACTGGGCATTATTGGAGTCGTTAACAGGTAGCACTGCACTTTTGTGCCTCGTTAGTTAGGAGGGGAGGAAGGAAACAAACTTTATAGTCCATGTTGTTGAAAAGTGTTTATGGTTTTACCACAAAGTGATAAAAACAATACAAGGCAGAGGATAAATGTGAGGGACACAGTACCAACAAACATGATTAAATAAAATACATTTAGTACACAGCCTACCTGAAGGTAGAAAAGAGCTGTGAAGGATCACTAATAATCTGGAGATCCTCACTCTTTATTCTGCATTTCATTCCTGTTTACTTTGTTGCGTCTGGGTCTTCTCTGCTAGTGAACTGACTATTTTCTATTCCCTATCCTATTCAATTTATTCCCAACATTCAGATTTTCATATCTCATGACCATGTGGAAAAATTGAATAATGTCTGATAATGTCTTTCCTTTTGTGTCAATAATGCTCAACTATAGTCACATGTGTGGTGGTCGTACTCAAAAAGCCATATTCTGCGTGTATTTTCTTAGGAGTCAGTTAGATATCAATCAGAAGAAGTTGGTGGCAGATGCCGCCCGTGATGAATACGCCTTCCTACAGAAGAAGTACCCCTCGCTTGCAAACAGAAATGGAACCAAACATCTGGCCAGAACATTGAACAGGTATGGAGCTGGAATTCATCTATTACTTAGATTTTTTTAGATCTACATTTTTTTAAAATTAATTTAACAAATGAAATGTGTGAGTCATTATCGACCTTTTACGTTTAATGGTTACTCCCTCTCTGACTTCTAAATCTTCCGTTCTGATGCCGTACTGTTGTAGTCGACAACTAATCTCCCTCTTAATTCCCAGATCTGAGCGTAAACTGATTTCTTTCTTCTCGTCAAAGGTTACTCATGCACCACATCAGAGACTGTCTTCCTGAGCTGAAGACGAGGATCAACGTGCTGGCATCTCAGTACCAGTCGTTACTCAATGGTTACGGCGAGCCCGTCGACGACAAGAGCTCCACGCTGCTGCAGCTCATCACCAAGTTTGCTGCAGAGTACTGCCACACCATAGAGGGCACGGCCAAGTACATAGAGACAACTGAGCTGTGAGTTACACAACGCTCATAACTGCATGTGCTTCCATAAACCACTAAGGGGTGCTAGCATCAATGCTATCCTGAGGTCTCGAGTTAAGTAGTTTCGTCTCCTTTTTTTCAGATGTGGTGGAGCGAGGATCTGTTATATATTTCATGAAACGTTTGGTCGCACATTGGAGTCGGTAGATCCTCTGGGCGGTCTGACGACCATCGATGTGCTCACAGCAATCAGAAATGCGACGGTGGGTTTCTGCTTCCTGGTTTAACTTGTAATCCGTGTTTTCTTTTTAAATGGCACCTTTTGGAAGACTTACAGCTTCATTGTATTCGACAGGGCCCGAGGCCTGCTTTGTTCGTGCCCGAGGTTTCGTTTGAGTTGCTGGTGAAGCGGCAGGTGAAGCGCCTGGAGGATCCCAGTCTGCGCTGCGTGGAGCTGGTTCACGAGGAGATGCAGAGGATTATCCAGCACTGCAGCAACTACAGCACACAGGTGAGAAACACAGTCTCGCATATACACAATACAAACCAAAGCACAGAGGAACTCCACAAAAGTAGAATTACATGTTTTCACGCTCTGGACTGACCACGCCACTGTTCTAGTAGCCTATTAAATGTGAACAAACACTAAGTATGACATCTCTGCAGGAGCTGCTGAGGTTTCCAAAGCTCCATGATGCCATCGTAGAAGTGGTCACCTCGTTACTCAGAAAGAGGCTCCCAGTCACCAATGAAATGGTCAGCACCTGCTCACAGTGAATACCACTTTAAGGGAAGTTTACGGACATCCTAGTGCTGATTCATCAAGCTTATTCTTTTTTACAGGTTCACAACCTGGTTGCCATTGAGCTGGCCTATATCAACACCAAGCACCCGGACTTTGCCGATGCCTGTGGCCTCATGAACAATAACATAGAGGTAAGACGCTAACTTCACATAATGCATCTATAAAATAATGTGTCTTCTAGTCCTTAAAGCGTCTATTGTTTTTTTAAAAAGCACTACTAGAGGAAAAGTTTTCCCAAAGAGAGCTTAACGTTTGCGTTATCAAAAGTAATAAAAATACACACAGCTTTATGATTGAGACATGAAAATAGTTTCTCCATTCCCTCTAGAGTTGTATTTTCCTTCCCTTTCTTAGGAGCAGAGACGCAACCGAATGAGAGACCTGCCCTCTGCTGTGCCCAGAGACAAGGTACAGTCGGTCCCCATGATTTTCATGTCTTTCTGTTTCTTGTCACCGGCTTTTCCGACCACTATTGCACATAAAGATTCAGTCCAGTTTCACTGAAGAATCAACCGACTTCACATGATGTAAAGTTCCTCACACCTCTGCCTGCAGCTCCCCTCTGTTCTGCTTGATGTTGTCTTTCTCTAGTCCCTTAAAGGCCCAGGTGGTCAGTCTCTCTCTCCCACCGAGCCTCTTGCCCTCGAGGGCGAGACCGCCAAGGTGTGACCCGTTCGCTCCCTGCCTGCCCACACAAAACTCTGCTTCCCCCCAACCACCATGCCCCGGCTGTCGTCCTTATCTCCACCATGATCAGACCCCATTTGAAAGTCCTGTACTCCTCTAAATTCCCTCAAACCATGTTGTAGCAGGTGGTTGGGCCTTTGGTGTCCTGATAATGCAGTGGGATTACTATAACTATGTGTCTAACCCATTCTGCTGCATGCTGATTGCTCGCAACTAATACAATATTGCTTATTAATACATAGTCATAATCATTTGCATGTGCTGTTTTTTTCTTGGTATGAGTGGGCGATATGGAAAAACATATTGTACTTCTACAGTGAGAGCAATCTTTCTCAATTCTATTGGAAAAACAACTTTGTGAAACAACCAGAAGTCTCCCTCTGGCTAATAACAAAGTCCTGTAAATCCAATATTGCCATAAAGTAGTTTTACTTATTGATTTGTAATGTTCCCTGCTACTGCTGAGGAAACAGTATTTTAACATTTGTTATATCATGGTATATGTTTTCATATCATCCAACTCAAACCTGGCTTCTGTCATTTATGCCGTCTTTTCCAACAGTCTTACTTTTCTCTCGTACTAAGTGAGAAGAATGAACAATACTCTTCATGAACTTCTTTGCAGTGAAATCAAAGAAGGCCTGTGGCATGCTACTATTTGAAACTGTTCTGGAAATTAACATTTACTTTATACAGTGTATCTATATATATTATAAATACATACGCATGATACACTTCCAGCCCTTGTAATTGCCGGAGCATCTGCAGGATTTATCCCCGTCTCTCTCTACTCCCCCATTAGGCTGCAGCAGGTGGCTCTCAGAGCGGCAACGTCGGCGAGCAGACGGACGGCGGGACGGGGAACTGGAGGGGCATGTTGAAGAAGGGAGAGGACGGACCAGCTGGTGACAGAGCCATGCTGCAGCACCCGCTCCCTGCAAGCCCACAAAGGGGCCACGCTGTCAACCTGCTCGATGTGGTGGGTTCTCTGCATTTGTGGACATTGTAACCACTTCAAAACATGGCACTGTTGATTTCAACCATTTAAAGCATGTTCACTTTTGTATTGTAGTTACTGCTCTACGGTAATATACAGTATGTCATATGGAGATCAAAGAGAGTTTCTACTGTAGGCAAACACACCTTGGAATGTAAAAACAACCTATTCATCTTTTGGTCTCTATTGCTTTTTCCTGGTCACGTTCTGCTTAATGCATTAAAGTCTAACTGAAATCCTTTTTGCAGTCAAAAATAATGTTCTTAAAATGTGTTCTTAATACTTCTTCATTGTCAGCCGGTACCAGTGTCCAGAAGGTTGTCTGCTCGAGAGCAGAGGGACTGCGAGGTCATCGAGAGACTCATCAAGTCATACTTCCTTATTGTACGGAAAAACATCCAGGACAGGTACTCGTGCAATCAGGGGTTTTTTTTCACCCACCATACTAACATTTTGAAAACTTGGCATCATTGCGCCGCTCTTATGTGCTCTACTGTCCTTTCACCCTCGGTTGTTGTTTGGCCTCAGTGTACCGAAGGCGGTGATGCACTTCCTGGTGAACCATGTGAAGGACTGCCTGCAGAGTGAGCTGGTGGGTCAGTTATACAAGGCGGGCCTGCTGGACGACCTGCTGACAGAGTCCGAGGACATGGCTCAGAGACGCATGGAGGCCGCTGACATGCTCAAGGTAACGGCTTCATCAACTGTCACAATGGAACGCCCAAAACAGGATCCTGTATCCATCGTATGCTCACTGCTCAGCAAAGCTTTGGTCAGGCATCTCTGTCAGGTGTCAAGCTTATTTGAGGCTTCATCAGTTTGGGTTCGATGAATCAAGCAAATATCTTTCAATGTCTTTTGTGAATCGGACCTTGAGACGGGGCGGACAGTGATGGACAATTTGTGGTGCTATCAAGGGCTGCAATCTATTATTTTTTTTTAATTCACCCGCCAGTGTAAGAACTAGTTGATGTAGAAAGAGCGTAGCCCTATATGTATCCAAAAGGCTTCGGCTGAGGGTTTAGGAATAATAGAGTTTTTAAATTTGTGTGTCCAGGCGTTGCAGAAAGCCAGCCAGGTGATCGCAGAGATCAGAGAAACCCATCTGTGGTGAGGGCGGCCTCTCTTCAGCAGGCTCCGTTCATCCCTCATGGACCATCCAAAAGCTCCTGCTGTGACTCCCAAGCTCCTCTGACTGCAGAGACGAACAAGTTGAAAATGCACTGGTGTTGATATGTGTATATCGGAACATAGTTTTAATGTACAGTAAGGACTTGGATTTAATGAAGGGCCGTACATATCGGCTCCTCTCCATCAGCATCACACACGCGTGCTGCTGTCCTAGTTATTATATTTTTCTCATGTAATTAAAACAATTAGTAGATAATGTTGTGCATCAGCACTATGTGGAGCCTTGCTGAGGAATCTCTGCTCTTAAATTAAATTTGAATTAAAGCTGGAAATGACAAAACTCATGCTGCAACATGTAGACGTTCTCTTTATGTCTATTTTATTAGATGTTGACAAAATAATGCGTCTACAGCTGATTGTTTCCAAAGAAATGCACTTCATGTAGATGTTTTACTGTTAAAACCATTTGTGTTTATATGCAGATATGAAACTATTCTACATCACACCCACATTTGTCCCTTTTGTTTACATGTTCAACTAGATCTAATCACACTTGTAGAGGTTTTAAGTCCATTGAATGAGGGTTCTGGCTGCTGGAGTCTTTGTATGAATATGTTATGGTACTGTATGCTGGACTTCATTGCACAGATAAATCTGCATTGTTTGAAAAGAGGCAGCGGAGTGGATGTAATGACTTATTTATTGTTATGATATTTGACATGTAACCCAACACAACAATGAATACACGGATAATGGGGCCAATCACTGGTGTTGAAGTCTGCCTCGTCCCCGTCTGGCTGCTCCTTTACCTCAGCCGGCCGCCCATCTTGCCCTTTCCACGTCCTTTGGCGCTGAAAGGATGCAGGGAGAGATAAACGCCAAATGCAAAAGCACCACAATCATTGGGTTTAGGACACGTGGAAGTCATTCACTTTCTGCACTCGGCAAATCAAAACACACAAACAGTGAACGGGGTGTATTTTGTACAGTATTGATAGTAAACACGGGCATGTTCTCCGCCTCAGACCGCTGTTCTAACAGTGTTCGAAAACTGCTAAATAAATGTATTTCAGCGAAGCTTGAAAGTTTAATGACATTGCAAATAAATTAAAGTTTATTTCCTTTACAGTTTTGAAAGAGTCCTGTTCATGCTCAGATATGTACAGTATCACAGTATGCAATCAAGTTTTTGCATTTCAATTAGATCGCCAGAGCCTGCCAGGTGCAACGTAAAACATGACCATTTGAACAAAGTGTTGCCAGGATGTTCATAATTCAATGCTTGTGTTTGAGATGGGTGGAGAGAATAAATGGGGTGTGTGTGTGTGCGTGTGTGCGTGCGCGCGTGTGTGCGTGCGTGCGTGCGTGCGTGCGTGCGTGCGCATTCAAATGACTGTGATCGTACTCTAAGATCTTTGATCTTTCCATGTCAACGATGGGGGAAATGTGACCTGGTATGGTGTGTATAAAATGGAAGAAAGTAGCACATTTTGAAGATGGGGTTCGTGTTCTTACCTCTGGTGAACCTGGACTCGAGCAAGAAGCTGGTTAATCTGCAAAAACACATAAATCTTACTCTGTGTTTTTAAAGTATGCACATATGATACCAGATAAATCCAGCAGAGGTTGTCTGCAATGCCCTCTGTTGACCCAACACCTTTCACCTGTAATATCTAACTTCATGCACCTGCAAGGCTTTTGCCACTTGAGTCAGGTGACAAATTAAAGAAGGATGCAGTTGAGGAGGCGGACGATTTATAGCAGAAATGGTTTCTCCAGACGTAATTTCTAAAATCCATCCATCTAATATCTGTAACTGCTTATCCTTTATATGGTCTGAAGCCAATCTCAGCCCACATTTTTTTCAAAAACTCAACATCCACATCTGTCCCAGGTGCCACGTTTGACGAGATCTTCCTCTTGTTTCTCATAGAGATAGAGGACCTCATCACCAAATCAATTATTTCCACTGTTTTGTGGTGTTTTGGATGACTTACATCGTACTTCTGTCTTTTGAGTTTGTCCCCGAGATCAAACTTCTCAGCCTCCAGCCCCATCAGCCACTGCCACAGCTCGCTGGCCTTCTCCCTAAACACAAATAGCCACAGGTCACATTGAGAGTATCGATCTTATATCCAGTGGTACCAAACATTTGAATCATCAAAATCCTATTAATGTCAGGATTCATGGTTTGAGACACGGTGCACAGCTTTGACCTACTTGAGTTTATCCTCGCTCAGATGATCAACGTTCAGAGCCTTCTTGCGGTCAGCCAGGATCATCTTCTTCTTCTCCCTCTCGGTTTGTTTCTTTGCTCCTCTTCTGTTATCAGTCTGTGTTGGTCAGAACGCACACAGACACATTAGTCAATCTGAATGCAACAAAAATGTAGATGTAGTTTTTGGTATCCATCTTTTTTTCTTCTTTTTTTTTTTTATGGCGATTGGGAGTTGAATGACCTTTTGTCCAGCGCTGTACTGCTGGGTCATGTTTGAGAGGGCCTTCTTCTTCTTGAATTCGTCGTCGTGCTTCTTACGATGCTCCTCCATCTCCTTGCGCTCTTTTTCGTCCTGTATGCAGCAACAGGTCAACTATTTAGTGGTAGAAACTGATAACGTTGTCTGATATGATGAATGAGTTAACGCATGATCATACTGCAAGTCTGGCCTGCCTCTCCTTCTCTTTCTCTGCCCGGACCCTCTGCTGCTCTGCTCTCTCAGCACGACGTTTCTCCTATAGGATGAAACACACTGTTGTGGTGATTTGGACCAAACGGAAACACAATAATTCCTCTTTGACTGACGCACTCACAATTCTGTTAACAAGGGAGAGGAGATCTTCCTCCTCCTTCTTCCTCTGGATGAAGTGAGCCTCGATCAGAGACTGCAGCTCAGACAGATCCTTGTCCTGACGCTTCCTGTGGATGTCCTGCCATCAGAAAAAAAGAAATCGGGGAAGTAAGGATGCGTGTGTTTGTCAAATCTGATCCGAATGTTTCTATCCAGAGGGAGGCTTTTAATAAGGTTGACTCACATCAAAATCCACTTTATCACCATCAGGGATCTTTGGGGGAACAATATTTGGCATGAACCTGTGGAAGTGAACAGTTTATTACTGTATGATCTGCCTTGAGTTTGGTTTTAACTGCTAAGCCAAAGAGAGCTAAGACACTTACTTTGGCTTGGGCTTTGACTCATCTGGGACGAAGAAAAGGAAATAGGAGACATTTAGAACAGATTGAGTAAGAAGAGGTCATTAACAAGCTGAAAAAAGGAAAAATATTGCCGTTTTCTCACCTGTGGCCTCTTCTTGCGCTGATGATCAGGACCATAAATGATTAGTGACATGATTGGAAATGAAATGAGGTAAAGTACATAAAAACATGGACGAGTGCATCGTTCTTACCTTCTTGCTCCCTTCAGAAGTAATGACACAAAGAATGAGAATAACAAAATCATGAATAACTTGTCAGACAATATGAACAGTGATGTTTTTTTTAATCACAATATGAAAATATAAAAGTACATACTGAACTTCCTCCTCCGCGACTTCTTCCGTGTCAGACATTTTGTTATGGATGAGCTCTGCAAAATGTGTCCCTATTAGACTATTTTTAGACTGACAAATATTTCCGATCATTAAACAACATAGCAGAGCACAAGATGGCAAGAGTTCACACGGTTCACACTGACCCAAATATCTGTGGTCACTTTGGCAGTGGTGGAAAAAAGTATTCTGATCTTGTACTTGAGCAATAGTAGCGATGCCACGATAAAATACTCTACACTAGTACAAGTAAAGGTTGTGCATTCAAAACAAATACTTAAATTAACTAACACTAAGTTTTTTACATCAAAATATACTGAAGAATAAAAAATGTTGCAAGATAATATAAACAGTATTTCAATGTTGTAGTTTAGATGCTGCTGTAGATCTAATTACTGTTTTATAAACATTTGTACTCAAGTACAGTATTCAAGTGAATGTACTTTGTTTCTTCCAACTCGGGTTACTACTCTACAAATATTTAATCAATCCTGTGACAGAGCGGTTGGTGTTTAGTGAAATAAAAAGGAAATTTTCCCCTAAAATGTGGTGAATACTATAAAGTAGCATAAAATAGAAACACTCCACTATTCTACAGATATTTATTTTATTTTCTATCGGGTCATTTATGTTTTTAGCAGAACCACCAGTAAAAAGCACGTAATCTCATGCAGTTCAGTCACATTTAGTAAATGTGACTTTAAGATCATATCTCCGCCTCATAGTTGTTAGAAAGCCATTAAGTTGAAGATTTATGACTGAACGAGGCTTTGATTTAAAGTAGCAGCTCTGACATAACAGACCTTACCTGTAACTCAGACAGAGGGAGCTCAGAGACGAGGGACACACTTCAACTCCTTGAGGTTCACAAACAGGTTGAGCATCAAGAATACATAGTCCAGTCCTTCAAACTCATGTGACTGCAGCACCCTATGGCTGGTCAGTCTATTGTTAGACAGCTGGATTTTGGGGCTCTGACACACACACACACACACACACACACACACATTCTACAGGTACATTCCCGTCCTGGTAAAATGTAATTTATCCATTCAAGCTTTCAACAGCCCCTCACATTTCAACACTCTATAACTTCACAAGTGGTTAGGAGGCACATGAAGCAACATTTCCTCCCAGTAGCTGAAAAAGCAAAGCAACAGAACTATAACACCTTTTTTACTTTTTTATTTATTGCTGAAGCAGGTACAAACAATAACTTCAAACATTCAAACGAAGCAATCCACATCTGAAAGACTCCAATACAATTTGGCAGGACCATGCAACTCATGTTTCCTGTTGACAGGAACACCGGGAACAATTTAAATTTAAAACTGAGTGCATTTTGCCATTGCCTTATACACCTTCATCACTGCAGCTGCAGTGCAATTAAACTTACTGGCATGTAAACTGATGATATCACTGCCTGCCTGTGTAGAATTGCATTTGGTTACTGAATAGTTGTTACAGTACTCGCTTACACGCGTATTTATAGTCTTTATTTGTGCTTATATTGCATAATAATATGATTTTTAATCCACCACAGTTAACAAAAGCCAAATAGGTAACATACCCACGTGTTGTTGAAGCATTGAGCTGCTTGCACACTGTGTCTCTCTGGCTGCAGTCCTGCAGAATGTGCCACATTATTATACGGCACCCTTTATATGGGGTTTATAAACTTTGTTACTAATGGCTTCTAATAAGCCATGAAGTCTGCAGTTATAAATGCTAATAAGCCATTCATAATTATTTTTTTTTTTTACAATAATCCATCCAGCTTGGAATTGTGAAAGTTAATATTTGCTTTTTAACACGAAACACAATTCTGAGCTGATGATGGCGCTCAATGAAATGTTGGGGGATCATCGAAATACTTTGCAATTCATCCTGAGGTAAACATGAATGTGTGTACCAAATGCTATGACAATCCATTCAATTACTGTCAAGACATTTTACTCAAAATCCAGTGGACGCTGCTGGAAAAGTCACAGGATCACTAAAGTCAGAGGGCTCCATCATTTGGGGATCATTGAGCCAATTCATCCATAGTTGCAAAGTTGGAAAGTAAGGAGGAAGTCATTAGGATTCATCCTCTGGGCACCATGAATGTTTGTACCAAACTATGTGGAAATGCATCCAATGGTTGAGATATTTCGGTCTGGACCAAAGAGGTAGACCAACAGATATTTCCATCCCTCGAGCCACAAAGTTAGTGTTGCATTAGTTACAACTTCACAAAGGGATTTTTCACAACCTGGCAACCCCCAAAATCTGCACTCATTGATGACTTGTTAACCATTAATGAGGTCATTAGTTACTATCTATAACCCCTTCATAAAGGGGGCTTAATTATAAAAGGGTACTTATGAAATTACTCAACTATGTACAGGCTAATCAGCCAACATTCAGCTTAATGGCAGTTTACGCTAACAATTAAAATGCAGGCGGTGAGATGGACATTAAACAACCTTGGTTATCACATGGAGTCAAAATAGTGATTATCATCCCAAAAAGCAGTGAGTGTGTACGAGTGTGTACGACAATAAAACACAAATGCTTGTAGTTAGGTTGAAGCTATATGGAAATACAAGAGGAGCAGACATGTCAGTGTGGCTTCAAAGCAATAGAACATTTAAGCATCCTGACAGCCATCTGAAATGTGTAACCTTGATTAAAAAGATGTATATTACACAATCTATTACCAATAAAGCATTAAATAAAAAGAAGACTTTGATCCTGGAGTCACTCATCCTGGTCCCTCGTCTTTTCCTCACTCGGGTGTGAACTTCATGCGAAAAACAGGAACATTGAAGGGAAATAGATGCACGTACAGTCGCAGAGCTTTGTGTTTGGTCAGGTGAGACTTGATTTAAATGGGGATGTCAATGTTTAGGGTCTTACGCCTGCTAATAGAGAGAGAGAGAGACAGACTTTAGAGATATACTGTATATGCACATGTCAATGTTGCATTTAAAACATCCATAACTTCTCCGAGTTTATTAGGTGACAAACGAGAATTCTTTCAGGGCTGTTAATCAATGCTTTTACATCCATACTTCTCTATGCATTTGTGTTTGTATATCAGAGTCAGTTCCACTATTGCTGAAACATACCCTGCAGTCAAAGCCAGGACACTTCATTGCGTGAGTGAAAGCTGTAACTTTGTCATTTGCCCTTTACTTCATTCCTCAGCGGTCTATTTCTGATGAAGAAGTGGGGAGGTTATAAACAAGGATCGCTATTTAGGGTCGGAGCTGACACTCGACAAACACTTTTCCATTCCTATTGTTTGCGATCTGACTCAACATTCAGGGGCTTGATGTCTGAAGAAATGAGACTTTTGATCACGAAGAAGACAGACATCTTTATTCTGCTAACATCAGCGGATGTTTAATGTATTTTTTCATGATTAATGCACAATTAAACCTGCAGACTGCATGGACACATGTTAGGTGAATAAGCCCAGTGATATAGCCTGATTTGCTGCTTAAACGGTTAGTAATCCTCCCCAGCAGTCAGTTTTAATGTGAAAATCAAGCAGCTGCACTCTGGTATGTCTAACACCTCACCAACACCGTGGCATTGGACAGCCCAGGTGGCAGCGGGTGACCAGTGCACTGCAAAGACACGACAGCCATCCCAGGAGTCTGGAAGGTTCTTTGACACATGGTCAGGGTGAAGGTTTTTCTTAAATATAGACCACAGTGTCGCAGAGCTGGGTCTGCGCCCAACAATCTGCAACAGCAGATTTGATTTACAATGAGCAGCTATTCTGGCACAAAGGAAGGCAGGTGGGTTGCACTTTAGTGGTTGAGTCCACAGAGGGGTATAAATCAGTCATGAGCTTCCCCCCACCTCATCCATGAAATGATGTGAAGGACAGAGACAACTCTGTTTCCTCCAGGGCTGATCTACATAAACCCTGGTTTAACATGTAGTATGTGCACATTTAGTCCTTTAGTTTAATTAAGCAAAAGTACACATACCCCAATATAAAAATACTTCATAAAGTCCTCCAAAATGTTACGTGAGTTAAGTATCCTCAGCAAAATGAACTAAAAGCTAACGTTTGCTTAAGTTTGACATTTTCAGAATATGCTTATTTGCTTTCTTGCTGAGAGTTGAATGAGAAGATTGATACCAATCTCAGCTAAAGGAGTGGTATTTCCCCTCTCATCTTCTCATCTAATGTCAAACTATTTCTTTAAAGTAAGACCTTTCAGTGTTATATCATTATACTACAATATGTTATTATCACTGATGCTTTAACATGTGCAGCCTTTTAATGTTGTAGCTGGTCACACTTTAGATTATAGTACTACCAACAAGATAAACTGTAGCTGTGTTGCAATACTTTCTGCTGATATGTCGTGAAGTAGAAGTTTAAAATAGAATCAAATTGAAAATTCTCAAATCCAGTCATTGAGTAAATTCAACCACTATTTTCAGTGACTAAGAAACTTACTATTAGTGACAAACTTGCTCTTGCCTCCGACTGCCACCTGTAAACAAAAACGAACAAAGAAACAAAAATTAAAGAGATAGGGAAGAAAGAAAGTCAACAAAAGACTGTAAACCACATCTTTAGTACTGCCTAATGTGATCAGCTGATAATGTTGAAACAATTCCTCAATTTATTCTGTGATTTACAGTTTTCGCTTCATTTGGAGCTAATGTAGATCCTAATATGTTAAATCACATAGTACGCTTTGTTTCATCCATGGATATCTCTTAGACCAAGAGAGGGGGGATAAATGATAAATATATAGCATACTATGTAAACATGTACTCATAAAGATGGATGAACATTCCCACAGATACAGTAGTATACTCTCCAAAACTTTCTTGTCTTTTTAAAGCACTCCACACCCACATGCTGTCAATCATAATATCCTAAAGCTGTGCACAGTGCAGCCAAAATATCCTTTAACAGCAGATCACACTCATGTGTGAAATAATCCATGTTCCAAATGGAAAACCACATCAGAGCCAGGGATTACTATTAATGTCCTCCAACCCAACGTGGGAACTATTGACAGCATACACATGATGTTGCGTTTATTAAGGTCTGTGTGTCTAAGAGGAGGTAGGAAGGGAAATGCAGGAATCCACACCGATGGCTGCCATCTCCTTCAGTGAATCAAAATCAGTAATTTCCCCTCAGTCCAGGCAACTTAGAGAGTTTTTAAATCAAAATGCATCCTACTTTTAACATGAGATAATGCTCGTATACTGACTAATGAGTTAGGGACTGTATGACAATATTAGGGTGGGATTATTATAATATACAGTACTGAATTATTTTAACATAAAGTACTGAATTGTCACAATTAGATTACCATGAAAAAGTAAAAGTACATAATGAATTTAAAATGGTGTCATCTGCATACGGCCTAACTTGCCTTTTATGTCTTGTTGCACACAAAGCTGACTGAACTCAACTTTTTTGTTGGTAGAAAATTGCCCAGATGGTACAAACAGAAGCAACAATTTTCACAAGCCACCAAAAAACAATTTTACTTGCAAAGTTTCAGAAAAAGTAGTCCAAATGGGCGGATACTGCCAATCCGGCAACTCTGATCCCAATCATATGCATATTGAGAAACGCCATGAAAACAGTGTAAACACCACAAAGATCAATCACTCCGTGTCGGTGGAACGTACATTGAGTGTTGCAACCACAGATTTGCAAATTACCTCTTTCACCATTAGGTAGACTGAATGAAACAAACAAACAGGACCATATCACCATAGAGCCTTTAAACAGTAGCATCTCCCCTCCTTCACAGTAAAGGTGTGTGTGTGTCTTACCTTGGCAGGTGCAGAGCTCTTCTTGGTTTCCCACATGCCACGTTTGTTACCGATGTCACCTGGTTTCACATCCTGTCAAAATCAAGATCAACCATGACCCCATTAGTCTGATGCAATGGTGAAGGAAGTACTTTTACAGAAGCAAAAGTACCGGGGGTTAATTCTAACTACTTTATATACTGCTCTGTAGCCTAATGTATAATAGTGCATAAGAATGTATTCGTTGATTTTTTTGTATTAATAATCTGAATCTGCAATGTCACAAGTAACTAAAGCTGTCAAATATATGTAGTGGAGTTTCTTTCTGAAATGTAGTGGAGTAGAAGTATAAAATAGCATCAAATGAAAATACTCAAGTCAAGTACCTCAAAACTATACTAGTACAATCCTTGAGTATATGTTCTTAATTACTTTCCATCACTGGCCTTATGCAATTTAGTTGTTAGTTTAGTATCTATTATGATTCTGACTATTAGTGGTAGTTAGTGTGAAATGCAAAATGGCGCCTTTACCAGTTTGAAGAAGAGTAGGCAAAGAACAGCAGGAGAAGTGAGGAAAGCTGAGAAAATGAGTGCAATTGGAAGGAGGAAAGGAAGGCAGAAGAGCATTAAACAACACAGTAAACATACAAAAGATAATACAGACATTAGACATGTTTTTGCGGTGCAGCTTCATCCCATTAGGGGGAGGCCAAATAATTGACACTAAGTTTACAACCACTCCCTTTGCCGGCCAAGACGTTTGACACTAAAGATATCTCGCTCGTAAATTTCCCGTTAGAACAATGTCACACATCATCCAGCAATGCTACTGCATGTGGACATTGTGTAATGTCTCAAGAAGACCTGGCAAGACTAGCAGCTGGTGTCCTACTTTAAGAAAAGGACTTGGTGTTCACCGAGTACAGTACACAGTTAAGTGTCCTCATCTATTTTTTGACGCCGAATGATAATAAGTCAACCAAATGAATCATTTAATTTGTTTACTTGTTAGGGTGTTTTGTCAGCGGTGTCAAATAGGAAAATAATGTCTCCGTGTGAGACAAATGTGAAGGGATATGACCATTTACCCTTGTCTGAAGGAGACTTTAAGTATGGAGTGAAATTTATATTTAAAAAAATGAGTCCAATAGCACAGATGACTATTTAAAGGTACTGTACAGTATATGAGTTTTATGGGCTGTAATATAATCTTTAAATACCCACAGAGGCCAAAGTGATTGATGTATGGAGGGGTGCAGAAACGGTTGTGCGTGTTGGGCATGTTGGAATTCAGCCACCTGACACATAAATGCTGCTGCTCCGTGCTTTGTGGTTGGACTTTTGTCCAATCAAATGACAGTAATATTCTTCTTACATCTAATGATTTCCCAAAGGTTTAGACTACAAATACATATTAAAAACGTAATACATATTCACATCATGTAGAGAATAAAAGACCTTTTTAGAATAAAAGACTTTGGCAGCAGATGTTGTGACGTAAACTGTCCATGTGGTGTCACTACACTCCAGGCAGGAACAGTTCCCAGCCTTCGGTGCTCCGATATATAAAGGCTGCCGCCAACAAAAGACCAGCATGTTGATGTGCAAATGAGCACATAAGCGTGTGCAGAATATTAAGGGATCATTGGGATTACTTGACACTGGTGTCTAGTTTACACTGGTGTGTACGTGTGCAATCAAGACAAGGATTTATCAGGGCTTACTGCTGGCTTTGCTGTTGCTGGTGATGCTGCTGCTGCAGGTGCAGGTGCTGGTGCAGGTGCTGGTGCAGGTGCTGCCGTCTTCTCCGCCTCTGGAGGCTTTGCCATCCAACTGTTCACACGTCCTGCCACGCCTCCTTTGATACCAGCTACATCCTGGATAAAGAGAGACATCTCAAATACTCAAATCATTATTTAATCTCTCTAACCTCCCCTCTTGGTTGCTTTCCCCTCACCTTGTTGACAGGCGTTGGACTATCAGAGGGGCTGCCGACGTTGCCTTTCTCCCACATGCTCTTGATGCTGCGTGCACCTCCTGTAGGAATATCTGCCATCGGAGACTTTGGGGATTTGACGTCCTTGTTTCCCTGTGGACATAGAGGATGGATTTAACTGCTTCTACATGCACAAAAACAGAGCTACATTGACTGAGGATCACTGGTGAAATGTACATTTTAATTAAGTAAAATGTGGCAGAATTTGTTCTTCCATTTTGTGTTACTTTATACTTCTACTCCACTACATTTCAGAAGCAAATATTGACATTTTTCTCCACAACTTTTACAGCTATAGTTACTTTACGATTTAAGATTTAACAGTAAAACCTAGAATAAGCTGCTAAAATACAAATGCATTGAAAGACCAAAAAAAACGCTGCGTCTGATTTGGGCCTCTTGTATTGTTTAATCTCTTTGAGCCTCTGAACACTTATTTAAATGACATATTCTGAGAAGTTTAGAGAGGAAATCTGTCTTTGGTGGAGCTGACACCAACCCATAGACAGATTTCCTCTCTAGACTTCTCAGAATATGTCATTTAAATAAGTGTTCAAAGGCACAAAGAGATTCAATTATTTAATGTCTAACAAAAAAAGAAAAAGATCGAGTCAAATGATTAGAAATGTTTTTTTTCTTCTTTTTTCCAAACCTCATTAATCATCTCAAGGCCCTTTCACATTTATCTAAAACCAACTCTACCTCGACAAGCTACAGCACTAAAATGTTACTTTCACATTGACTCATCAAAAGTATAATAATGTACTGTAAAACATATCTCTTGCCCTGTTCTTCCAAATAAGTACTTTTACTTTTGATAATACTTCTGTACTTTGACTTTAGTGGGATTTTAATTCAGGACTTTCAGTGTAATGGAGTATTTTTACATTGTTGTATTTGTACTTTTACTTAATTAAAGGATTTGAGTCCTTGATTACCACCATGACTAAGGATAATGTATAATGAGTCTCACCTGGATGGCAGAGGTGTACTGTTCCATTCTGTTGCCTATCTTGGAGACAATTGGAGTGTGAGACACTCTGGCTGCGGTGCTGTGTGGATGAACAACACATTAGTTCTGCTCACCAATTTAAGAGTGTTTATTGATTTATTTTTTAGTCACTGTAAAATATGTTTTATGGTTCACCTTTTCTGGGCTGATTTGCTCAGGAATTCTGCCTTCGCCCCGATCTGTACAAAAAAAAGCATATTTTAGGTTAATAAACAGTCTGTGGTTGACTTGCACAAATAAATACGGACATGGTCAAGCTGTCCTGTCCTGTCTCCAAGACAACCTCACTGAGAAGCAGACCAGTCCGTCCCTGGGAAGTTCTCTCTGTTCTTGGTGCCTGAGTGATTGAACTGGAGAGTTGGCTGCCAGCACACACACACACACACACACACACACACACACCACACTGAGTGCTGCTGTTCAAAATGAATTATACCTCCTGTGTATGCGCACACACAATTCTCAACATTCCTCCAAAAATACTCCAGAAAATTACCCAGTCATGGTCTTGTACAAAAACAGCCATATTTGAGAACAGCACAGATGCCAGATCCCATCTTTTTTTATTATTATCAAATAACAACATACGGGTAATATCAGAGAACTTGAAATGGGAACAGCAAAACAATCAACCACATTAAACTGTAAAACATGTCTCAAAACTGGAGATAACGAATACAAACAGATCTATTAAATGGGATGAAATGACCACCTATAAACATATAAACATATAAACTATGAAAACAAGCTGGATGGTAATACTCAATGGAATAGTTTGAAATACACTTTCTCTCTCAGAGTTAATAAGAAGGTGGATACCAAATTGTGTTATGAGAGTGATATTGATCTTCTCATCTAACTCTCGTCATGAAGGCGAATAAGTGTATTTCCCAAAGTGTCAGTGTTGGTAGTTGGTCAGTATGCTTCTGCATTTTCTCGTAACATTCTGATAGGGTGGCTGTTTTTTTCAGTTTGGGATCATTTAAAGTTATTTAACAATTCTCACTCTACCTGTAGAGGTAGCTAGCCATGCAGATAGTGTTTTTTTTTTGTTTTCTGCCTCAACCCCAATGCAATGGCGGTAAATGGGATTTTCTTTGTGGTGCTCAAATCATTGAAAAATTAAATTTGTTCATGGCGAATGACACATAATTGTTTATATTATTTGTTGCGCGGGAAACCGTCTAGAATAACTCCAAGATTTCTGAAACTCTGTTCCAACTCACCTTTGAGGAGCCTTTGGGACTGATAGTAAAAGCAGGTTTTGTAGACTCATCCTCCTTCTGTTTCTTCTTCTCTGCAGCTTCCGCCCTCCTTTTCTCTATCTCCTCCTTCATCCTCTTCCTCTCCTCCTGTTAGGAAAACCACAATATGCTGTCACGCTTTAGTCACCAACCAAATCAAGCCAAAGTACAATGATGAGTGTAAAATCCATCCTCACCTGTTCTTTGGCTTTCTTCTCCTCCAGCTGCTGTTTCTTCTGCTTCTCCTCCTCCTCCATGACCTTCCTCCTCTCCTCTCTCTTCCCCTTCAGCTCCTCCAGCTCGGCCTCTGCGTCCTGCTGCTTCTGCTTCATCTTCTCAAAGTCCTCGCTTTCCGCGTCGTTTCGCCGGCGCTTCAGCTCTTGCAGCTTACGCTCGGCCTCTTGTTGCTCCGCGCTACCAGCCTTGTTGGAGGGAACATTGTCTCTGCACACAAACATACAATTATTTAATGATCAATACGCATGTATACAAACTCAAGTGTTCCTAAAAAGATACCGATGAGGTGAAAATGATAACTTTACCTTGAAGTCTTCTCTGTTTTCTTAAGTTTATTCTCAAAGAGCCCTCCGTTGTGTTTGGCTGGTTCATTCTGGCGAAAAAGGTAAAAACGTTGAACCACCAAAGCCTCTTCCTAATCACATCTTCGATATTTAAAAAGAAAATATAAAGAATATACTTTTATATGACTTGTTCATTTTACCTTTTCCTTGAAACCAAATCTTTTGGGCTTTTCCTCCTTTACACGGAAGAAAGAAATGGAAGAAAATTATTAAAATAATAATAAAAAAACAGCAGGTTCAGTCAAAACGCATGATGTAGAAAACCCACAAAAAAGACATCAAACACTGGCTCAATCCAAGCCGGGGCAGTGAATGTAACGCAGATGTAAATGGACGCGGACACATGCTGTGACATCCTCAAGGCCACCAACTCTTTCATCCATGTGGCAAACAAAACGCTGTGACTGCTCAGTGATGTGTGACCACGCCGCAAAACCGTATCATACAGCAAATATCTGCACCACGAGACCAAAGCCCGGATAGATCAGAGGCGGTCCCCCAGTGTCATTTAATCTGAAGGATTAACAACTTTTTTACATGATGAATGTCTGTATTCTGTTACTTTACAGACGGGAACATTAATCATTTCATTGAACTTTTCCAGGTTTTTGAAGTGGCTGCTATACAATAAATCATATCAATACCTCCTCTTTCTTTGTCTTCTCTTCCATCTCTCTCTTTTTGCGCTTGTCCTCTTCATCTTTTTTCTTCTTTTCTTCAGCCTCCTTTTTCCGCTTTTCCTCTTCTTCTTTCTTCTTCTTCTCTTCCAGCTCTTTCTTCTTCTGCTTATCTTCCTCCTCCTTTTTCTTCTTCTCTTCCAGCTCTTTTTGGCGTTTTCCTTCCTCTTCTTTCTTCTTCTTTTGCGCCATCTCCTTTTTTCGTTTGTCCTCCTCCTCTTTCTGCTGTCTCTCTTCTATCTCCCTTTTCTGCTTTTCCTCCTGTTCTTTTTTCATTTTCTCCTCCTTTTCCTTTTTCTGTTTTTCTTCTTCCTCTTTTCTCAGCCTCTCTTTCATTTCCTTTTGTTGGTTTTCTTCCTCCCCCCTCTTCTTCCTTTCCTCCTCCTCCTCTAGCTGTTTTTCTTCTTCCTCTTTCTTGAGCTTTTTCTCCATTTCCCTTTTTTGCCTTTCTTCCTCCTCTATCCTCAGCTTTTCTTCCTTTTCTGTATGCTGCCTTTCCTCTTCTTCTTTCCTCTTCCATTCTTCTTCCTCCTTGTCAACATCAGGAACAGCCTCCTCTTCAGCATCGCTCTTTGCTAAATCAGGCCGCTCAAACTCTACTTCTGTTGCGGCAGCCTTCTCCTCAATCTCCTCCTATAAAATAACATTTTGTGTCAATTAATGCATGTAAATCAACATAATTAAGTTGGCAGAGAGTTAAGATAAGAGACCATACCTCATTTATTATGCTTGCTGTTCTTGATTCCTCAACAGATTCCTGCTGAGAAAAAAAAACATAAGCAACAACAAAATCGTCTCAGCCCAAACAATCTATTTACAAATCTTCACTTTACCTTCTCATCTTCCTTTTTGTCCTCTTCCTCTTTTCTCATAGAGTTAGTATCAGTGTCTGCCACATCCTCTTGGGCTGATTTCTCATCCTCCTTCTCCTCCTCTTCCTCTTCCGGAGCGCTGTCTGTGCCGTTGGTGGTGCTGACGGTTTGGTCACAATCCTTTTGTCTCTCCATGGCCTCCTTCATTCTCTTCTGGCGGCGTTCCTCCCTCTTGGCCAAGCGTTCCAACAAGGCCTGGTCATCATCTGCACCTTCAGCACCGGTTGTCTCCGTCACACTGTAAGCACATGAAATCCAATTGTAAAAAAATGAATGTGGAATCTTCGAATTTCCATTGTTTTGCCCAATCAACTGTGATAGAGCCACATAAGTCTCTGATTGGATTTTTTCTGTGGCTAGAGCTGATGAATTAAACATGTACAGTATACTTGTGCTGGAGAATGTTTGTCCCAAAGAGTCTCACTCTGAATGAACTTCTCATCTCAATACTTGGGTAAAAACAAAATGCATTTGATCGCATCTGATTAAAAAAAACAAGTGTTTACTTCCCCTGGTGTCTAATCTTCTTTGTCTACCTGAGGCCTTTACCTGTTAGTGTCGATCACATCAGTGGTTCCAGACTCGTCTGAGTCCTTCATCTTCTTCCTCTCCTCCCTTGCACGTCTCCTTTGCTCCCGAGCTTCCTCCTCATCGTCGTTGGCATAACCCTCCCTGGAATATCGCACATGTTGCTTAATACATGTTAATGTCCTTGTGTTTTCACTCCAAAATTAGACAATTGATATCAAATATATGAAAAGGCAAACGCAACTGCATGATTACATATTTTAACATTACCAGAAAATCTGCGACGTTTGTATCTGAGCATGTAAACGTCAGCTATTAAAAGATATTGTGAAATTAGTTGGAATATGTCTTGGAAATATGATCTGCTTGTGTTATGACCTCAAAGTGGACATGAGATGTGATTAGTTCAGTAATTGGAAGGATTTTTGGAGCCCAGAGGAGATGAAAGTATCAATTTTTCAAAATATACTCATTATTTTGTGAAACAGATGTATCTGAGGATCCCTGACACTCGGGTTGTGAACCTCTGATACAAGCTATACAGATATGATGGAGATTGGAGATGCCACGAGTGAGGGAAAACAGACTAAGAAATAATAAGAAACACACAGTACATGTGTCCGAGATCAAAACGTCTCATCGAACAAATCAAGAGCTTGCCAAAGAATTAACCCCTTTGACATTCATTAATGTAAGAAACATATTTAAGTAGAGACAGAGACATTGCTGACAAGAAGAAGGGTGAAAAAAAGAGGAAGATAAAGAGATAGAGATGAGGACGAAATCACCAACATGAGACATGAAAGTCTTTACAGTCCTGCCATTGTCTTTCAATCCTCCTCATCTCGCTCACATCCTGCCATTGACTTTCATCCAACTGTGAGTACACCCACAGGGAGACTTTCGGAGCATGCCGAGCTTGTATCTTTCCAAGCATTACCAGGCTTTATGAGGCACGGAGAGAGCTTGAAATGGCCCATTGATAGAGCATGGGTATTATTTCCCTCTGCTCTTCCTGAAACCGCAACGCAATGATTTGCAGATGTTGTGAGAGGAAGAGGTGATGGGAACCACCAGAGTCCTTTTCTGCCTTCAAAACAGAAAACAGAAACGAGGTAGAAATCCAACCAATCCTCAGGCAAAGGTTTTCCTGGTATGGCATTGCCGGTAAAACATTGAGGAAGTGATTGAATTAGGTAATTCTCCACCTAAAGCTATTGGCCTGCTGTGAGAGTACTGTCAAAAATGTTGCAGTTACATTTCCAGACGAACAACACGAGAGACCTAAAACTTGATAGATGGGGGGAATATATGATGAGAGCTGGAGATGAAAAAACTCTATCAAACTGTCAGTCTGAAGCGTTGAGAGCAGGCTATCTCGTGCTGAAATAGAAAAGGCAGTCAAAACATTCCAGCGTCTGCAGCATTTCCTCGGGCTGCAGAGAGGAGCTGAGGGCAGGCTGGGTTGGCACCGCTGGCTAATCTGGCTGCAGGACTGTGAGAACATTTGCTCGGATTGCCTTTTTTCCACTGGGGCTCTGATGACTGGACATCTGATATGACAGCAACTGACTTCTGACCAGGAGGAAAATAATGAGTTGCGCTGCGATTGATTGTATGGACATCTGACTATGTGGTCATAGCCAAATTAAGATGAAACTGAGGTTCTATATTTCTAACAAATCCAATGAAAAGACCAAAACCAACAATAACTTAGTCCGTCCCGCTTTTCCAACCTGCCTGTGATAGTAACAAGCCCATTCATTCCAACTGAAGGTGTTTTTCTGCTGTAGTTAAGCGACAAACAGGAGTAGAAAGACCATGTGTTGGGGTCTATTTTCAGCTGTGGATTGATACACATTTATGTGGGATTGGATTAAAACAAACCGCAGTGGCCATGTTCATTGTAATGGAGGGAAATGTCACCCAGTGCAATGATGTGGCTCATTAATGTGGTTTTAAAACAATGGAGGTCTATGGTACAGAGGAAGAACATATATCAGGCTGTTCTTACACAAACAATACTACCTTAAATAAGATTACAAGAGCAAGTTAATGAATGAGGTTTGGGATGGAGATGACAGTTATATTTGTAAATGGTTTTTATGTCTTTTATCTGAAGTCTAAAAACAAAGAAATTGGTGGCTGAGCGATGTTTCTCTGTGATTAATCTTGAGAGTTTAGTGTCTGCAGGCTCCAGTAGTCAAAATTCATCCCAACGTTTGATCCTTATTTTAAGTTGCTTTGTAATTAAGCAGATGATGGCTACAGGTGTCAGCAATTCTGCTGATTACTCTCCACTTTACCTTGGGTCATGTATTGCTTGTCCTGAGCAAAAAGAGCTTGTTTGTTCAGATTGTGATACAAACTGTGTCTCAACTACTTGAATTGTTCTGTCTGCAACTTTTAAAGACATTCCAGTTTGACTTCCCTTGAATGTTTACAACACTTTCCTTTTGTTCTGATGTTATGAGATTTATGTTTATCTGATCACAAAGAGAGAGGGAGGGAGACGACAGAGAGCGACAAAACTAATCCAAACAACAGCACAGGCAAATGACATCCTAATGAACGAAAAAGGCAGTGAGAGATCATTAAGCAGTCATCGCTTGACAACAACCCGAGTCCTGTCTGCCCTGCTGCTCCATGTTAAGACACAGAACTCACCACTCCCTCATGCAAAAGTGAAAAAACACGAAGACAGACACACAAATGCAGACAGAAAACCTTGACCACTGAGCGTCTGTCTCCAAGACTTTGCAAGATTAGAGGAGAAAAATCTTGAGTATTTTGAAACTCGTCAACACCTCCAAAATGCTTTGTTGCACTATTGTAAAGTTTGTACAGCTGCACAGGTTCAAAAACAACAAAACACAGCCCAGTCTAGTATCCACAGTATTACACAGTATAGATGGGACTTCTCTGTAAAGAGCTGGTGTCTAATAACTTTAACACAGACTGCACAAGTGCTTTATAAAAGCTCCTGCTGATCAAATATAGTGTACTGAAGCTGAAAATGTATCCGGTTTGAGTTGTGAGTCAGACATTCAAACACTGATAAAACTAATGAGGCTTTCATTTAAGATGCTATGTCCTTTTATAGCCCTTGTACACATTTTACCATGCATTCACTTTTTTTCCAACAAGTATTTATGTCCATATAAGTGTGCCTGTGTGCGTGTTTCCGTTTATATATTCTTAGATGGTTCACTCACTTGTCAGTGTCGACGCGGATCTGCTCTCTCCTCTGCCTCCTCTGCTCCATGCGGCGGTCAAAGTCATCGTCCATGATGCCCGAAAGGTTCTCACTTTTCTCACTGAAAGACACAAATGCGATATCAGATCACGTGCAATGAATTCAGTTCAATCAATCACTCATCAATTGTTTTTGTCTTGGATTAGATACTTGATGAAACACATGCTTAGAAAGTCCTCTGATTACTGCAGTATGTGGCGCATTTTGAGATCACATTGGGAGTACATTGGGATCCTATAACCACAAGATGAATGAAATTTTCATCATCATTTTAATTTCTCAACTTGTAAGCTTTAATACTAAATAACAAACCCTCACTGCGACGAAGAGACCATGCTAAAAAAAAATTCAAAAATGAGCTCCAAATCAGTAGCGCATCAAAGTATAGGGGACCACCCAGCTTCATGACATGAGTAGGAACTTGAAAACTGTTAGTTTACAATACCGTAGCAGTAGCTGAAGTTTAGTCCATGGACGGCCGTGTCTCACCTCTCTTCATATATCAACCTCTACAGTCTGGTTTATATCTCAGCCCTGCAGCACAAAGAATTCCTGCTTGTTCTTTCAGCGACTTCAACTACCAGAAAAGGCAAAAGCCTGCCTCTCTGCTCCCCTCTCTTTCTCTCTCTGCCTCCCTCCTCCTCCTCAACCTGACTCCTCGCTCTCTCTGCCTCTGTCTCACGTCCCCCTCCCTGATCTCTGACTTCAGACTCTCTCAAAATGTTCCGCTTGGTTTTTTCTTGTTTCATCCTGTTGTCTCTCTTTCTGTCTGATGTACTGAAGCTTTGTTTGCCAACAGATGTGAAATCCATCAACCGATAAACCTGTCAATACAGTCAACGCTCCAAACCACTAGCCAGTGAGTGAAAACATTTGATTGGCTTTTCTAATAAAACACATATACAGATTCCTACATTGTGTCAAAGTCTGCCTTTAAACCAGACTACTTGAAGATTTGTGTGTCTGAATTGCTCAATTTCTAATGTTTTCTCATTAAATCTGGCTCACACCCATATATATATATATATATATATATATATGTGTCAAACAAACAGACAAACAGTACTGGTGAATGCTCAGTGAGACAAATTATGTATTTATTTTGACTTCTATTTACATGTTTAGTTCCATTACTGGTCTACATCTCAAAGTTTTCTCGAAGAAAACTAACCTTGTAGAGCATCGCTATTCACTTTTTGGATTTATGTTGTTGAACAAAAATCACGATTTCACTTCTACCCTCAAACTACAAAAGACAAAGATAGTGTAGAAGGAAACAGACCTCCATCCAACACACACACACACACACACACACACACACACACACACACACACACACACACACACACTCAAAAACATTATGGTATGAGGAAAATGTCTTGCCTCCTTCACAAGCAAAGCATGCATCCATCTTCTTCTACAACAACACACGAAAGAATGCTGGGAATTAAGACGAGAATGCATGCATGGCGGACTTGTATTCTTGTTTGATATGGAAGGATGGACATTTCCCAAGCACAGCTAGCGTTATCATTCTTGATCCGATGAAGTTATGTAACACATACAGTGTCATAAAGAGGGCCACGTCAGCATCATCCCTTTGTTTAGTTATCTGTATCGTCTGAAGAGTAGCCCACCAACAGTGAGCAGTCGGTCATCAGTTTAGTTTTTACAATGGCCGACAGTCACGAAGGCTAACAAACAGAGGCCTTTTCTAAAACATCCACTACATGGGTAACAAGACAGGTCAGAGCTTTCCTGGAAAGGAATGGCACTCTTTTACACATCTCTTCCCTGGAAAACTGGTAAGGGACTTATTGCAACCCAAAATAGCTTACTTGTGGACAAAACATTTTCTCAGGTTTGGAGAGGTGTTTGTCGCTTTGGTCTAAAACATCTGTATGAATGAGGAGCTTGAAAAACTATTGGTGAAAAACAGACTGGCTTGATTGATGTATCTCAACAACTTAAAAATGGATCAAAATTTAGTACAGACACTCACGTTGGAAATTGGATCAATCCTTATACTGTTGGTATTCCCGCGTATTGGTATTAATTAGCAAATGTTAGCATGCTAACGTGCTATACAAGGATGGTGTACATGGTAAACATACCTGCTAAACAACAGCATGTTAGCATTGCCACTGTGGGCATGCAAGCATGCTGAAGTTAGCGTTTAGCTCAAAGCACAACAGATCCAATACAGTGGCTGCTTACATGATCTTGGACTGTTATTCTTCTTTTATATGGGATGATGGGCTGATTTGTGGGATGAATTAAGAAACACCAGTGTTTCTTTTTTGGCAAAAATATGAAAACACCTTGAAGAGCATTAAGACATCAAATTTGCCAGTTCATATTCTCTTCAGAATTGAATTTCTGCCTACTTACGTATCAGAATTGTATATAGTATAACTGAATGTGATGTTACAGCTTCAAAATACTTGCAGGATTACCACCAGATGCAGGTGTCCAAAACAGCCTTCACCCCTCCTCCCCACATCTATCATCATTACGCAAAGTGTCCCTCACAGCGATGGTAGGAGGTATTCCAGGTATTTGATCTCCACTCTCATGTACAGTAACACGGAGCCAACATCAGTCAACGGTCATGTCGAGAGCACCTTGTGTCCACCTTGTGACATAAAACACAAGCAATCATGATGACCAGCATTAGCACCAGCATCGTCATTATGAAGAACCTCATCTGTGAGGTAAAATTTCTTATGAAAGCATTTTGCATGAAAAAAGTTCTGTTTTCCATTCAACCCAATTCAAAGGGACATAATTCCTCTCCCAATATAACACGAGACAAACTGTTATCCATCACTCCCTCACAGCTGTTCCTATATGGGACCAATTAAGGTCTGGGGTTGACAAAGGCTGGTCTGTCTCCAAGCACTATGGACTGTATGGAGCAACAAACAAGGACTGACTGACCTGCAGGCTAACAGCTCGCAGACATGTTAGAGTCGGAATCCAGGCCTGTTTGCATTGGCCCGGGTCCAGCTGGACCGGCAAAGTTCTGCATTTCTAAAAGTTTAAAAACTCACCACTCTGGCAGCTACACAAATACCTTTCTGCCCCCACTTTGTTCACAAATGTGGATGCACACACAGAGACACACACACACATACACACACACACCTACACACACTGAGCACTGATACTCACTTCAACATAACAGCTGTCCCATCAGTCACCAGACAGGTGATTTGTATGGATTAGAGGGGTGTGAATTATTCCTGCTCTAAAACAGAAATAAAACCAAATGTAAAGACATAGCCCCCCTTAGATGAAAGCACTAATCATATTGGCATTTTAATTTAGAGAGAACTCTCTGCCTGTACATACCTGTGACACGGAAACAGTCCCTCAAAGCTCCAAACTCTCAACCTTGTAAACCTTTCATTTATATGTCGGCAGCATGCTATAGGTTATTATAGTGTTCCTGTCATGAATCTGAATCAAGTTCACAAATCATTCCCACATGACGGGTGCCCAGGACAGTTTCTTATTCATACATCTGTAACTGATTCGTCTCATCTGGGTAAGCTCTCCCTTCAGATGGAGCACTTTTCTTTCTTTACACCTCTGCAGGGTCACTCTGCTCTCATGCAACTGGAAACTCGTCGTTGGCATACCGATGGCCAAGTGCTTCCCCTAACACTCACCAGACACTGCTCATGAATATTCATATTGATGTTTGAAACAAATCAAGAGGAGAAAGGCTGTGACAAGAAAACAAGTCTGGCTTCCTGCTGGCGACATCAGATCGCCTGGCACGGACGTGCAATGTAAACCGAGTGCATTCTGTCAAATGCCTAAATACAACATTTACATTTCAGTATTTCACAGCTAGCCACCCAGAGCAAGTTTTAATTGGAAGCTCATATACAAAAGGACACCATGACACAATGTGGCTTTTAAAAGGAGTAGATGAATTGATTGATTGATTGGAAGCTGCACATTTTCACTTTCAAGAGTCTGATTAGAAGATGTCACTACTCTCCTGTCTGTGAGTTAACTGTGCCGCTAGCTCCATTAGGCAATTAGCTTAGCTTAGCATACTGACTGGAACCAGGGGTCACAGCTAGCCTGGGTCTGTCAAAAGTTCAAAATAATGCCTTCCAATACATCTAAAACTCACTACCATGTTTACCACACATCTCATTTACTTAATTTGTGCACAAACACAATGTAATTTGGGTGGATTTCTTTCTTTTTTTTTCAGCTGCAGCTGGTAAAATATATATATATATATATAT